GAGGGCTCTTAAGAATGCACGGGAAAGGTTCAAGGGGTGACGTTTGGAAAAAGTTTGGTCAAAGATCGGGAATTACGGAAGTGAATCAAGAGTACGGTATTTTTAGCGGATTCGTGCATTTCCAAAACCCGAAAAAAAAATTCTCGTCTACAAGGGGACTTGCATATAAAATTAGGGGGGTTTTTATTGTAACCGACAATTGAAAAAATCCTTTAGTTGCCTGCAGCAAAAATTTAGGCGTTAAAATCAACACGAGATCGAGAGGCCTAAACGCAAATTGCAATCTCGTGTATATGATTAATCCGGAAGACCCGACTTCCAGGTCGAGCAGCCGAAATAATTTGATCTCTCCCCTCCCATGCCCTGCATTGCAAAAACAACCCTCTACACTAGCGCACCCCCGGATTTGGCGAAGTAAAGCCGACCTTTTTCTTCCCGGAAACCCATTGTTCACGGGGAGGTTTTTGCCCCTTCGACAGCTTGACAACCCGGATGCTTGTGTTGCCCAGTTCGGTCGAATTTAAAGCGGTCGGAAGGAGCTAGAAATAGATGGTGCGCAAAAAATATTAGGTTGGCAAGAACGCGCAAAATATTTTTATAATCAGGCTAATCTCAGAATTTTAAAGCAGCAACCAAGCTACAAAAAACTCAAAGAAAGGTTAGCGATTAGGCGAACTAAGTTAACGCCGAGAAAAACAGCAAAAAGTAGTTAAGAATAATCAAAAAGGGCCTACTCTAGGGCAACGTTTTGCAAAAAATAAGCGGTCCGGCATAACCATTGTAATACGCTTTGATGCTTCACAGCCAGGGCTTTATTGGCTAAAAAAAATAAAATTCGACACTAGTCAATATTTTTACTTTAGCGTTCTCAGTGGGAATCTACGGAAAAAATGTGAAAAAGTTCTAGTTACCTTCCAACCTATCTAATAAATACATTTTGAATTGCCGGGGCCGGGGCCAAATGTTTTCGACACTGACCGGGAAGGGCGGGAAGAAAGTCAAGCAGTTAGTTGAGGAAGAATAGGGCCGTAAAATAAGGGCTCGGCAATTACGGGGCTGGCCAGCGAACCAGAGGACGGGTCTTCCTTCAATCTTTTTTTAGACTAGTTGGGGGCCAACAATGTGCAAAATCGGAGGGCATGTCGTTCGAGGGCGGAGAGTTTATGTTTGAAAAGCGGTTCCCGATTGGAGGAGAAACATTGGGAGAGCTTAAAAGTTGTAAATTGCCTTTTTGGGTGACGATTGTCCTCGGGGAGATGTCGTGTTACGTGATGTCATTCCGAAAATGGATATTTCCTACTTCCTGGCAATGCAAAGGAACGCCGCTAGAGAGTAATTTATAGGGGGTTTAGGCAAATAGCAGAGTAGTAAAACATTTTAAATCAGAAAATAAAGGTGCTTTTGCATTATAGGGGGGTTCCCTTTTCCCTTGGGTTCGAATTTTGTAGTATAAACGGGTCACGTTCCTAAAGCTAAAGTTCCTAAGTTCCTAAAGCTATGCTTACGATTCGAAACGTCAAAATGTAGAAATTTTTACCACAAATGCACCATCGATATGACCAATTCTCAGCCATAGTGAAATGGGGAACTAAAGAAAACTCCGAATTTTTAAATAGTTTTCCACTGTGGAATTTACTAGCAACGCGATTAAATTGCGTAGTATTGGGTTAATAGGCAATTGTGTATTTCGTTCGTTCCGTAAAAATTCGTTCCCCCCCCCCTCTCGATAACGCGAAGACGCCAAAATAACATAAAATATCATGAAATGAAAAAATTTTAGTCATAGTAACAAGGCCGGTTCTAGAATATTTGCAAAACAATTTCAGAAAAGTAATTATTTAGCGAAACTCCTTTGAAACTAGCAATTTGCACCCAAGCTACCGATTTTCTAAACAAAAAGCCCAGGAGCCAGCCCCATCATTCCAGGAATGGCCAGGGGCCAAAGTTTGTAAAAACCAAGAATAAAGGAGCAAAGGGAAGCCAAGGGGCCGTTGTGTGTGGGGCCCCTGAACCCGCGGGCTTAATCAAGTAATGGAAAGCATTCGATCTGCATACGATATCCAGTGATGTTTCTTCGAGGATTCCGCCCAGTTCCTCGTTCAAAATGAGACTACTGTAACTCATTTGCTATGGGTCAAACAAAAAATGAGCATAAGCATGGAATAGGTTCGAGTAAAAAAAACTCTAGGGCTTGGCTTGCGTATATTGAATCTTGGAGAACACTCCTGCACAAAGATTTCCCCCTTCATTGGACGTCCGCTCCAAAATAATCCGCTGGTTATTATTTGCCAACTAAAGCGCAGAAAATAACAGAAATGGCTCCCCTTTTTCGCGAATACGCATGAGCCATTTTTCTTATTATGATTTTGATATGGTAATGGGCATGCGAAATACGTGAAAAATGTGAAAAATAAGGGAATGAACTGTGAAATTTGATTAAAGGGATAACACAAGGTTTTTACAGAACTAAATGGTTTTGATGGCTTGTTCCTACGGTTTACAAGGTAGGAGATTTGAGGCGGGTCGAGGCGACAAAATGAGATTCGCACTCGTCGGCCCTCATCAAAAACAAGCCTACTGCTCGGGCATGTCGGATTGAGCATCGACGGGAGATGACCGTGGGGCACGCTATCTTTCCCACATTCTGGACCAGCTCAGAAGGCTTGCCCCACCCGCATCCAATTGGGATTTCCGAAACGGAAAATAGATATTTTGGAGTTCCTTATTATTATTTTGGAGGTTGGCGATCTCGTGAAAATCGGGTTCTATTAAGAAATTTTCCGGATTTTTTTGGATTCTAGAAATTATATAAAATTCTGCAGCGCAATTCTTCTAAATTTTATAGTGCTACGATGCAAAAAACCTAAAAGATGAGAATTTATTTATTATTTTATTGCGTTAAGGTATAACAAACCACAAAACTTCCAAAGATTCCGATTTATGGAGGATATTATGGTGCTACTTTTTCAGAATCTTTGTAGCGCTACGATATCGCAAACTACATAGTTCCTCAAAGATGAAATCTATGCAACATTTTATCGCGGTAGGTTATTTTAATTATAAATCTTATAACACTAGGTTATCATAAAATCAAAATTCCTCACGAGGGAAATTTATCTAAAATTTTATAGCACGACGTCAATGTAATTTGAAATGCTAAAACGCTATGCTATCACAAACTACAAATTCCTAAAAGTTCGAATTGTTGCTCTCAATAAATTACTCGGAATGAGGCAAGAAAAAACCCTCCGGATCACTCTCTCTAAAGAGCCATCCGCAGATTCATTTTCTAAACCGGGAACCGGAATTAAGAAGGCGTCGACCGTTGAGGTAAATTAGTGCGAATAATTAGCTGGTGCTAGCCGCCCCAACCCGGGTGTATTCCACCCCACAACTGCGCTTCCGCCACATTTCACCCCCACTGGGCCCCCTCATTTTAATAGGGCACATGAGAAATGCAAAAGAAAGCACAAAAAGAGCCCTCCACCCCTCTTTCTCGCTAACCGACGATGATAAAATAGGGACCACCCAAACGGCTGGCGGTCTGCCACCCCTCCCGGGTCCCATAAATCGAGACAAAATATTACTGGTTCCTTATGGGAACTCCTCACCGCAAAGCATCCATCCGGGGGCCACAGCCTTGCCACATAGAAAACGGTGAAAAACAAATGGCCACCACAGGACCTCTTGGAATACAATACAAAAAAGAGCCCGAGACGAATAGGAGACCCAGCCCCCTAGCCTCCCCCACCAAAATATGACCAACCGATGCGCTCACTCATGTAAAAAAAGCCGTTGGGTTGGGAACGTTTGGTTAAGGAGGGGAGGAGGAAGAGGTGAAGCCCGGGAGGGCAGCTGGGCCATAAATTATCTCGGTCGGGCTAGGTGTTTGCAGCACCGAAAAAATTCTGATTTTTCTGATCGAACCCGAAAAACGAGTATTTCTGGGTTGTTTTCGGGAGTGAGGGGTAAAAACGTTTCCTTCTCGCAGCCGATTTTGGGGTCGGCGGTATTGTTTTCGGGTGTTGCGCGTATGAAAGGCTCAATTTTACGTGTGTGCAAGGTGGGTTAGGGACGGCGGGCTTTGAAACGTTCGAGCACCAGGCGCTAAAAGTCTTGTAGATTTTCCGGCTAATGTCTAGTCTAAACGACGTCGATAGGGAGAACGGCAGTCGAACCTCCCGAAACTAGTTGGCTCCGGTGAAACTCCACTTTTTACCTAGTTTGATTAAAGTTTTTGGCCGAAATCCTGTCTCAACATGCCCTTCCCTAGGGGGCTGCTATGCCCTCACATTTTCTTTGCTGTAGGTCCGGGTAATTGAGAAGCCGACGAGATGTCGTATTCCGAATTAGGTCTGTGTTCGGGGCATGGAGAGAAGTGGAAAGAAATGGAAAGAAGTTCGAAGCTCTGATTCCCCAAATTTTTCCCAGTTTCTCAAAACTAAAGATTAAAATATTAAAAAGGTAAACAAACGTGAGTGGTAAATCTCAAAAATAAGGTGGGGGTCAAAGGCAGCGGCATTTGAATTGGAATTGCTTCGAAAATTTGAAGTGCGCTAAAAAGTATGAAGTAGGGGCGGCGTGGGATCGAGGGGGCACGCGATTACTAGTGTTTTTTGTGGGGAGTTCTTTGAGGGACAAAGGAAGGGGAGACTTGAATGTTGTGAAACTGGGCAATTCATGTGGATGTTCAAAAGATCTGTAATTACTAGTATTTCAGTTGGATGGAAAAATTGAAAAATTGTAGCTAAAAATATATGAGCGAAATACAAAGCTAAATTCTAATATCGATAAGAAAACCTTATAGGGTATGGCGAGAGCTACCAGGAAAATGGGTTGAAGAGGCTTTTTCCCCCGTTCTATGGTGGGTGGTGAGGCCGACGGCATCCCGTAAATGTCAATACTCTACGAGCTGCATAATGTGAATCCGTGCGGAGGCTAATATTGCCCCCATATGTCTTCGTTGTACTTTTTTTGGCTGCCTAGATCCTCTCGATTTATTCAGTGCCATTGGCTGGTTCGTCTTCTTCTGGGATATTGGTGATGGTGGTTGGTTGTGATTCTGGTGCACGGTTTTCGCCGAGAAGACTGGTCAAACAGCTATCGAGAAGGTACTGAAAACACAAACTATAATCCTGAAATACAAGCCACACACCTGTACAAATCCCGTTAATCGATTCAATTCATCGCGAGACCCCTCTAGTGCACGAAAACCCAAAATCGCATGCCCGAACTCGATTTTCATATAACCAGCCGCTCTCAAAATCACCGAAGACGTCATAGAACTCAGAGATTCTAATAAAATGTTTGACACCTAAATTGTTATCAAACTTAATCTTAAAAACATACTTGACGTTCCAATTCGAAACCTGTCAACTCGCTATGCATTTTTCTGCGTATATTGCGGCGTCCTAGCCACAGCCGATCTGTCATAATAAAAACTCCTAGTGTCATAAATCCATCGAGCGTCTGTTAATAGATTATTAAAAGAAAAACTAAAATTACTTCTTCGTCTGTCTCCTCAAAAGATGGGGTTAGCAACGCAACTTCTTCTAGCAAAATTTCGAATGCCGCTAGAAGATCGATGGGCTCTACCCAACTTGGAGCAAATGCCTCACATACCGTATCTGAAGGTGGTATGCTTGTATAAAAATACTATTGTTAACTTTACCTAAACGAAAACTTGTATAAGAAGTCCCTATTCGAGAAGAAACCGGTCGCAAAAGCTCCAAAAAGCTGTCCTGAAGATGAAGAGGATAAGCAATATTTATGGCCCACTTACCGGGTACTGCTCCATTATTGAACTGGCGTGCCGAGCCAGCTTTTTCAATCTCTCATAAAACTTGGGGGGAACCATTAAGAGGTTCGCTTGTAGAAACTTATTTGATCCCTCAAGGACTTTATAGCAAATAAAATTATTAACTCACCACTTTTTGCTGATAATTATGATTCTTCGAAAAATATATCATCATTTTCTAAAGTAACCTCACAGTGATTTGATTGGCTAACCTTAAACAAATTTCCTATAACAAAATCATCGCGCAAAACCGAAAGCTGTTCGCCGTTAATACCCATAATCCCTGCAAAAGTTCGGCTTTCAATGCTGAATTACTACCTTCTTGTAAGAGAAAAAATAAGGCGAACATCAGCACAATAATCGTCGACTGTAGCGGCACCTAAAAACAAAATTGGCAAAAGAGATTGCCCATGGGTGGAATCGAACCACCGTCGCCACGGCCACAACGTGGAGTACTAACCACTATACTACATGGGCCGAGAGCACGGGCGGGGGAGAGGGCTGATGAAGGCTCGGCCTGCGAGGGGCTGTCTGCCCCCTCTCCCGGGCTTGCGTCTCCCTCAAAAGCCCCTGCCCCGCCCGTCTCCCCACGGCCTCATTGGCTCAGTGGCAGAGCGTCTGTCTAGTAAACAGAAGGTCGCTGGTTCGATTCCAGCATGAGGCACCATACTTTTTGCTTTTTTGCCCAAGGTTTTGATTTTGTAATAATGAACTCATATTGAAGCGGGGTATTTTGATCTTTAAATATTGACTACCTGCGATCCTGACGCTTCGATCAACCCGTTTAATGTAGCCCATACACGCAAAACCGTACATAACTCGCAAATGGGCTTCGAGGGGGTTATATTCTGCAGACCCTGCAGGAAGAGTTGTGCAGGATTTTGCTCCAGATATATTTCACACAAGCAAGTTGCCCCGAGAAAAGCAGTAATTGACCCGTGCTCCACGTTTAGGCGTAAATTGCCCAGCCATGGAACTTCTCGATGGATCTCTAGAAGTAGCCGATAGTGCAGACGGATCCTCTCTAAACGTCACGTTCAAAACACGCTGTTATTTTTTTTTGCGGTAAATAAGCTTAATTTCCTGAACTATATACCCGGCACGGATAGGCGCTTCAGCTCTTCTGGATGAATGGGCTTTTTCAGAAAATCGGAAATTGGTGCGGAGAATAGAGTGTCGGAATCTCGGCCGAAATCTAGATACCGGCGCCCATTCTTCATTGCCAATGTATCTTGATGCAGAAAAATCGTCTAGGAAAAGACGATCTTTAAAATGTTTGCAAAATACCGCGTTGTTCGTGTCCAAGCCAAGAATCGAAATGCACTCTTGCGGCCACAAAATCTCCAACTCCACATGGGACAAATATTTTTCAAGATGCCCACGCAATGTGTCGATTTCATCGCGTATATTTTGGAGCTAAGTTCAGGGTTGATTATGCATTTTTCTATTTACCGAATTTTGGGTGGCGGCAAGTACCGAGTGGAGACGTGCAGATTGCTGGGCAAAGCCGGGGAATAGATTTAAATCTTCGATGATTCCGAAAGCATTTAGGTTGGGCAGTTCTCCAAGGGATTTTGCCGAGCTCAGGTTGCGCTCGCCGATGGCAACTTCGCTCTAAAACAAAGTGGTGAAATAGGGGAAATGACAAACGTCATCGATGAACATCCTTCGTTGTAATACGGCGTGTTGTGCATATTCCTCTTTTGAAAATTCGACGAGAGCATAGAAGGTTGGGTCAGATTTTGATACAACTCGGTCAACCAATCCGAACTAAAAAGATCAGTATGTCATATCGATCAAAAAATTTTTGGTAATGTGTTAACCAACCTGGTGCATAGCATCTTGCAACGATCCAACTTGAAATGGACGATCATTCAAACTTTTGATAAATACACCCTTATGGAGATTTTCCAATGATTTGGTGGTTGATGAGCCGCCTGAGAGCATCACATTTCCACTAAAATTTTTTTTAATTGACTGAATAGCTATATAGATAATGCAGTAGAATCAAATGGAAATCGAAAATTTGATGTTGACCTTACGTCAGTTTGTCTTTTTCACGCTACCACCTGCAATTCTCACAGTGCCAATTAACCGGCGGAGTGGAAGGTTATTTTTAAAAGCAGGGTCCAATCTTTAGAGAGAGCGGAATATCGGTCGGATATCTGGTTAAGGCGGAGAACTATAGTTTCCGACCATCCCTTTTCCCCGGCTTTTATTGGTTGGTGGGGGGCCAGAAAATAGCAAATTACCGGAACCGGCGATTGGGCCCCGGGGCCTAGGGCTCCCACGTTTCCTGTGGGTCCAAAAAAAAAATGCCGTCCAAAAAATATGGGATATGGCATTTTGGTTCCCGAAAATATGAAGTAAAAAATTTGGGAAAAGTTCCGGGACCCTTCGAAAAGCGTTGCTTTGGTAACACGTTTTTCTTTGTTATTTGCTTGCTCATCCTCCGGTCCCGCTTTTGCCACTCCCAATACTATTACTTTATTCCAAAAAACATATATTAAGGATGAAAGCAACAAAACGATAACAGGACTGTGGTTAAAGGCAATTTTGCTGAATATCGACACGTTTGTTGAAGGGTGGACTGCTCTCAATAAAAAATAATTAATGAACAACAAAAATGGGGTAACAAGCCTAGAGCAAAAACGGTGGTGGCGGCGGAATTGAAAGGGTACGGGCTGCCGGTGGATCACACTGGGTACATCTTTAGCGTGGAGCAACGTTTGGATAAATTATGAAAAAAGCGCAAGCTCAAAAAACAAACATGTTTTGACTATGACTGGAGTTTGGGCGTGAATCGAGTCGTAGTCGTCAAAGTTTCGGTTCTCAAAAAACGGTGGGGAGACATAAAATGGCGTAGAGGGAAAGGGGGCGCCAGATCAAGCGTGTGGAAGCGAGCAATAACCAAGAATTGGATTTGCCGGCGGCGAAGAAAATTGCAGGTGAGAGGAGTGGGTTTAGAGAAATTCGGAGTGGAAAAGGTGTGGGAAGGATGGTTAGCATTAGACAGGTGAATTGATGTCAAAATGGTAACTTGGATTTGGTAGGTAGAAAAAGTGACGAGATTTGATGGAGCCGGGGAGGGACTAAGTTGGGGATGAGGGGGAGCTCTTTGACCTTTTTTGTTGCAGTTCTCGGGTAAATTTAATTCAAGCGCACGACTAAAGGTTGCGCAAAATTGCATTATAATCGCACTAGTTTGTCTTCACAAAAAGGGAAATTCAGAAAGCTTATCGTTTTAAAGAGACCGTGTGGTTTTAACCTGGACATAGTATGACTAAATTTAAATTCAAAATTAAATACTTTTGCTAAAACTGGCTTAGAGTCTCCCCCTCAAAAACATAAACGATAGTACAGATCATTATTCGACGATCTATTGCTTCTGTGCCTGGCGGAAGCCGCCATTTTGCTGTGGTTGCCGGTTCGCCCGTCGGAATCCTAAAAAGCAATCATTGGCCGAGCGAACCGAACACAACATGAAAAATGAACAGAAAGGAACCAAAAGCCGCCCAGGGGTACCCAACAGGTTATACCTCATTCATCACTATCCTGAAAGGAATCTAAACAGCGAGGGTGGTGAGTTGGTGATTTTCATCGCGTGTTCAGGAGGATTTTTGTTAGGCCCCAAAAAGGAGAAGAAGTGAGTTTGTTCGATATGAAAGGGACTTACTCGTTTCTTATTTGGTCTATCTTTTCTACCTAGAAACTGAAAATGTGTGAGCGATTTGGAGTTAGGTGTGTAAAAAATTGTTCTTTTGGGCGAGGTATGGAGATGTGAGGATGCAAAGTTTTTACCTCCGCCGTTTTCATTGCGTCGTCTTTCAGCGGGTTGTTCACCCTCTTGCTCGTCATATTCATCATGGCCGTTATTTTTTCGGAATCCGTTTCGCTGTCGGGAGTCGTCACGGTTGCTTTGGCTTCCATTTTGACGCTCATTTGATTGATCGCTGCGATGCCCATCGGTATCGGAATGGTTTCGACCGTTGGTAATTCGACGATCACGGAATCCACCTAGAATATACGTAGTCATATTAAATAAAGAAATCTGTTGTTAATCTGTTTCACTTGTTACTAAGCACTAACCACGTCCATTCGAAGGTTTGAATATTCTGCGCTGAAGCTCATCGACATTATCCCGAATCTCCTTCATCTCATTGAAGATTTGAAGCTATAAACTGATTTTCCAGTTATTCTAAGTTGACGCTACCTGATAATTAATCAAAAACTCGGCGTCATTAATGCTTTGCCGGGTACCAGTGAAGCTGAACGGCACATATTCTTCGCTCTCCGGGGTCTTATCAGCGATTTGGACACGGATTACACCGGAGTTGTCGACGATTTGCTAAAATAACGTTTATTATGTTTTTAATTTTTTTTGGTAGTAAGTTTCTATTAATTATTACCTGCACAACCTTTCCAGTCTTTCCAATAATGTTTCCAACGTGCTTCCGTGGGACCATGACAACATCTGTGGTGTACTCGAGGGTATTTCTGGCCTCAATGGCGGCATCCGGGTTATCGGCGTAGACGTAGAACCGCACTGGAGCGTTCGGATCTTCGGTTTCTTTGAACTATACAGGAAGGTTTTTTAAATACTAACTTTCCAAACCTGAACGTCCCTAACGCCATTGATGGTCTTTGCAAATTTGATGTTGCTTCCTTGAGTTCCGATTGCAAGTCCCATGAACTGCTTACTAACTCTGAAATGATAGAGTTATAATGGTATCTCAAAAATCTCATAATTTTTAGCTCGTTACTTACTCAAACTCTTCAACAAATGGTGCATCAGTCTTCACATCATCCTTTGACAACATCTTTGAAACAGTTTCTTGACGCTGTGTCAAATGCATGCGTTGACGTTGATCCTGAATCACTCTTCTAAGATTCGAATTTCACACCCTACCTTGAAGAATGTCTCAAACAGGATCTTTGCCCTCCTTGCAATTGCTCCATCAAAGGTGAAAACCGAAATATTTCCGGCCAGGTCATGATCAACTTTGGCAATACAGCACCCAAGGATGTGTTCGAGCTGTTCGCAACCGTTCGTTTTTTTGAACCATTGATAGATATCTTCCGGGATTTCTAAGCAATTTTGGTTTATGTTTTTCATATGGGTAACTCACTCTCGCTTTGGATTTGCATATGGCTTTTGGAGGGTTTTCGGTATACCAGGCCACCAAGTCGTAGTTTAGGTCCAATATCAACAATGTGGGTTCGGCCGTCGGCACTTTCGACAACGAGCATTTCGCCCTAAAACGTGATTATATTTATGTATATTATTAATTACCTTGATTTGGTTAACTTTGACTCGTTCCCAGATGTTATCACGGAGCATTGCTTCAAGTTCATCGTCGGGCTACAAGAATTTATGATGAGGAATGCGTTTATTTGGTATGGCGCTATTGATGAGGTATCGGCATTCTTACCTTAACCTTCAACTGCATACTGTTGAGGGATTTTGGTGCAAGTCGTAGATCTGCGAAGGGTACGAGGTATGGATCACCGCCCGATGGGTCTTGGACCTTCATGCCAGTTTCTTCAAAATCTTTTGCTTTCGCCACAACCCAGATGTCACGCCCATTCTCCGTTTTCTTGATCTGAAAATGGCTTTTTAAAGTTAGCATATACTTTTAAGTATATTTCCAAGGCTCAATTGATAACCAATTAACAAAAAATCTTAGCTTTAGTTTTATGAAAAGTTTACGTTACGAAAATTCCATTTAGCAATCTTTGAATATATTTTGCTAATTAATTATATCCAATGTCCCCTGGTCGGATCTGTCACATTTGAACCCCCGGAGCCAGCCACAGACGTGGCGATGTAAAAAGGGGGGCAGCGAATGTTTGGATCGAGGGGGGAATTGTTTGCGCAAGAGGCATTCCGGTCGATTTCCGGCACGGCTTCTGGTTGGATAACCGCACAGCTAATCAAAAAAGGTGTTGTACAGAGATTGATTAGTGAGATGGGCTAAACTACTGCTTCTCGAAATTGTATAGTCAAACATTTAATTTACATAAGGCAAAATTTTCATATTTTGTTAATCATAAATTTCCATACCTCAAGCTCCATGGTGACGTCGTTCAGGTAATAAATAGAAGAGGTAAAAGGCAAGTAACCTGCAAGCTTTGTGGTTATTTTTAATAAATACTTTATTACATACAGGAAAAACGAACTTAGGAGCGCTGAAAGGTTGTTGATTTAGGCGTAGAAAATGCATACGGTGTTTGAAACGGTGAGTTCTTAGATTCTTTGAGAAATCTGGATCAAAAAAAGGCATATTACTATACAAATTACGATAAAAAATGTTATGGAGAAGCTGATAAACGATCGTTAAGGTATCTGCGTAAAGTTTCAACTTTCAGCTCGAATTTTCGGAATCAACCGGTTGGCTCCAGAATTGGAGGGTCAATTGGAGTGAACAGGTCCCTCGAAATCAACGGAATTCCGGGCAGAAAATCGTGTGAAAAACGATTGGCTGTGCAATGGGTGGGAGAGGAGCGGGAGAGAGGGACCTAGGATAGGCTCTGCTCTGTGTACTGGGCAAAGGAAAGGGGTGGGGTCTGCGTCCCGCATTTTTGCCCATCTGCCCTCTACCCCCCGGGTGCATTTTAGGCCCATTGGCCCACTTTAAAATAAACCAATTACAGCGCCGGGCGATTCGCAGATGTTCAATCGATTTGTTGTATAATGTTGCGTGGCGAAAGTCAATGGGGGGTAATAAATGTCGCGCGGGAGCCGGACGATTTTTTTCGAATAATATCGCGTAAGCAAAATTGATGGAGTTGTGGGGATCAATGATAAAAGATAAGGAAACTGCCGGGAAAGAGCTCTTCGGAATGCTTCTAGGAGCTATATGGTCTTGAAAAACATATAACCACAAACCACGAAAAGCCCAAATTATCTAAAATTGATTGAAGCATCGAGCTTTTACGAATAAATGTACATTTGGAATAGAAAATGTTAGGATCGTTACCTAATAAGCGTTACTAAAATATGTTGATTTATGTTAACATGACTAATTAGAAAATCCTACAAGTCTAATTACAGCACTAAGAATTATTTGTTGAGATCGACATAATAATCGAAAAGTTCAAAAAACCCACAAGCCATTGGCTTCCCAACACTGTTGTGCAAAGACCGGAAACGTGAAATAGTTTCCGCCTCTTATCCGGGGCGTGGGTCGCCTCTCCATGGCGATTGCAGCCAAAAAGAATATAAAGCCATCGATTTGCCACGCCTTCGCCGTGGCTTATGCGACGAAATGATTCAGAAAGGCTGGGTCGTTAAGGGTGGTTAGCTGATAGCAAAACTTGTCAGGCTTTGCTTTGTATAGCTGGAGAATAGCCTTTAATAGATTGCATAAAAATTAGCATCTGGCCTCAGGTGCAGAAATTGAGCTTGAAAAACACCGTAAGGCGTTTTTACCAAGCGATTTCTTTTCGCATCTATAAACTGTTAATCCGGCTTAATCTTGCTTAGAATCAAGCTCTACGAGGTGTCAAGCAGCCCCAATCCACTACACGTCATCCTGAATTGTAAACCTGGTTATCAGAGAAATGCCGTCGCCGGTCGTGTTGAGAGAATTGATTCTAAGCCTCTCAGCGGGCGAGAAATTGGCTCGAGTATGGGCTCATTCGAAGGCCCGCCGCTACGGTCCGCGGCTAACCATCTGAAAATATGGGCCGGCTGACGGTGGCTGTATTCCTGGTGCTATTCGCCGTCGTCGTCACAGCAAAGCGCCACCCAGCGCTGCCTACATTTTTGTTGGGGAGGCCGAGTGGCGGGTTTATGCGGTAAGTTTGTTATTTGGAACTAAGCTGGAGATGAAATTGTTATTATGGCTACCTAAAAATTCGTAAATTTTTCTCCAAAGAATTCTGAGGTAATTCAAAGAATAGAAGCTGCAATAGCACCAATAACCACAACAGCCAAACTTTTTTCATATAAACTGATTTTTAAAAGATTTGGAGATATTTTTACATGTCCAATCGTTTTTAGCGGATAAAAGCTGCGACAGCATAACAAAAAATAGAAATTCATATTTCCTTAGCGATGGATACCGGCATTTCTCCGGTGACTATGAACCCGAAAAAACGCTAGACGACTACCCGGGTCTCCAACGATTGAATTTCACCCAAAAACTTGACCACACCAAAGATGATGGCTTGACATTCCAACAGGTTTCAGAGCTAAACAATAAAATATCTGGATTTTAGCGATATTGGTATAACCCTAACTTTACGCAGAAGAAAAATATCATCTTTTTACTGCTGCAAGGAGAATCGATTGCCACAGACACCTGGGCTGGGAATCCGGGCTACACCTATTTACGGGTGAAACTTGTATCCCTTTATTTAAAAGTGAGTTTAGCTAGCAGAAATTTATGGAGCTGATGCTTTCCAACTGGAACATCGTTGTTTTGGATATTCGAGGCCTTATCCGTAAATCCAACGTTCTAAAAGCTACTTGATTTTAAGCGATTTAACCACGGAACATCTAAAAATTTGCACAATGAGCCAAGCCATCGAAGACATTGCGGATTTTATTAAAGGAATGAACGATCAATACGGCTTTGTGAAGCCGAAATGGGTCACTTTCGGAGGCTCGTATCCAGGTGTTTTCTCAAGCCCTGAAAGTAAATTGCCATTCTAGGAACGCTAAATGCACTCTTCCGTGCGAAATACCCGGACCTAACTGTCGGTGCAATTGCCAGCTCGGCACCGCTTTATTTGAAGCTTGATTTCTACGGTAAGTTGTTATTTGTGGTAAAAATAGGGTGTTCAGAGTATGCACAAGTCGTGGAAAATGGCCTGCGTACCACAGACCCAAGCTGCGCGCAGGCTGTTGATTCAGCTTTCAAGAAAATGCAGCAGCTTTCGTTGTCAAATGAGGGTCGGCGACAATTGAATGGATATTTCAAGTAAGGTTATGATATATTTTTAAAAATTGATTTAGCCTACAACCCCCATTCCAAGACGATAAGACCACCCAGCTAGACATTGACAACTTTTTCGCAAACCTGTATTCGGTGTTCCAAGGCGTAACTCAATACACCTATGATGGCCGGGTGAGCGGAAGCGTATCTCAAAAGATTAAATAAAATGTCAGAACAACATGACAATTAATGGGCTGGGATTGAAGGAGCTGTGCAAACAGATGACCAAAGAACAATTTGGTAAGCTACGAGCGGCAAAAACATAAGGTTTTAGATGTGATCACCCGAGTCAATAATACCGTCAACTGGGTCAACTCGTATTATGGAGGAGCCATGCCGTTCCCCAATTCGTATAGCGATATGATGTCGGCGCTGTCGAATACAACTTTTGACGATGAGGACCCGTTCCAGGATAATGGTAGTTTAATAGTAGTAAGATATAAATATGCCTTAGCGGCCAATCGCGGATGGATGTGGTTGAGCTGCAATGAGCTTGGTTTCCTTCAAACTACAGATCAAGGCAGGAATGTCTTCCAACAGACTGTTCCGCTGAAGTAAGTGCTTTAATACTGACCTTCAAAACTTGGAACCTTTCAAAATATACAAAACTTTAGCTATTTTATCGATATGTGCACGGGGATGTTTGGTGATGAAGTGAATATCAAATACATCCGGGACCATAACCTGGCTGCACAAAATCGATGGAAGGGCGCTGATGGATATCAGGTATGGAAATTAACCTTTCGAATATGTAAATTCCGTTTCATTCCGATTCAGGCTACCAATATCGTGCTACCCAATGGCTCCTACGATCCATGGCATGCACTTGGCCGCATCGACCGCCCAGTCGATGATGCCCATCTGGTCCCGATTTTAATCAATGGTATCCTACTATATATAAAAAAATAGTGTTTGTGTGTGTGTGTGTGACACTTTGCATGCAACTTCCGTCACCATGTCCGGAGGATATCTCGATAGGGAACGCTTTTAAGGTATGTATGATGTCATTAGGCGCGTAATGGCTCTGGGATGACTGCACGCTTATCAGATTTTGCAAAATTAATTGTTTTCAACATAAAATTTCGGTTTTTGTAAAAATTTCGGGGACCCTCTTTGTTAGGAAACAATTAGCATACAGCGGAAGTGGCGGTAGCCTATATAATCAGGTCAAGAGTGTCATTTTTCATTTTTTTTCCATCGAGATTCGTGAGACGTATGCAGATTGAAAAATATTGTGGGGTTAGACGGGGCCAGGGTTGAAAAGTCGCGAAGCGGCTTTTCAACCCTGGTTTGAATTAATTTTCATAGCTTATTACCGATTTTAGGGACTGCCCATTGTGCCGATATGTACCCAATCTATGCCGGAGAGCCAACGGGCCTCAGGAATGCTCGTCTGGTGATCGAGAAAGAGTTGAAATATTATTTGGGTGTGATTTGAATGGTTCCACGGTGTTCTTGGCCGTATAAAAATGTTATCTTGCGATCGAATAAAAAATACTTTATTTACATACATCACTAATTCTTCTTCACATTGTTGGCTTTAATAGCTGCGGTCAGTTGCTTGTCACGTTCCTTCAGAGCCTCATATTCAGCTTGGACCTCGACTAATCTTTATTTTTGGGGTGAAGGTCGACATACTTACAATATGGCTTAATAGGAGTTAGATCGTCTTTTACTCGTTTGTTGCGTTCCTTGGCTTCTTTGACGAGTTCCGACAGGGAGTCGTGCTCCTTCTCTTGCCATAAAACCTTATTTCTCCAGTCGACCATCTCAGTGTTTAGCCCAAGGAGGTCCTCAATGCTTTTTCAAAAACATAAAAATAAGATATTACCGTTCCTGTATCGGTTTTATGTTGTTTTTGAACTTCAATTAATCTCTGATATAAGGTAGCTAACTTAGAATTTTGTCCTAAAGAGACATAAACGGAAAGGCCCTTCAAATTTACCATTTGCCTCGTCATTTCCGGTTTTCCATTCTTCTTCCAGGTTTTTTACTTCTTCCGCTAGGGCTTTTAAGTCACCTTGAGCCTCATGTTCCTAAAAGATGTAAAATTAGAATTACTAAAGACCTTTTCTTGAGTAAATTCATTCAGACGGGCGCGCTGAGTATCTTGAGTATGCCTAATCTGCTCGATTTTTTGTTTAACTAACGACATCTTCCTCTGAGATGACGCTATCTCATGTGATAATTGCTAAACTTGTGACAATAAATAATATAAATAGGCTTACCTCCTTTTCTTGAGTCATGGCTTTCACACGCTCTTCTATAGAGTGAACTTCATTTTTCACGGCTTCCTGGGCGATGGATGTTGCTGAGAGGTCACTTTTTAGTGATTCCTCGGCATTCGAACGTTTTGTAGCAATTTCAGACTTAAATATTATTAAATAAAACCAGTAATAGACTTTACCTGTTTTGATCGATTAGTGAGGGTTCCTAGTGGTGGCACCGACTTTCGGCTATTCTTTGAGCTACTTCGACTATCCATACTGGACTTCCGGGTCCGTGCCTGACTTTTTGGCGTGCTTGCTTTTGAGGTTTCATTTGTTGAACTAAATGGTTTCGAGCCGATCATGAATGCTTACGGTTCCAGCTCAAGGATATCGATGCGATCCTGATAGTGCCTCAGCCTTTCGTGTTCCGCAGCATGTTTGGCAGTTAGTTCGGTTCGGCTAGTCTCAATTTTTGAGATTTGATCTTGTACGGCAACCCATTCTTTTTCTTTTTCATCTATCTCCGTTGAAACGTTGTCTAATTGCTCCTAAACAGTATGATTTCCGACGTAATTTCCGTCACAAACCTCTAGGCCTTCAATCTCTGGTTGACCCCCAAATCGGACATGCGAGATTGCCTGAATTCGATAAGTTTTAGCTTTTTGACCTAACGTACCGTTCCTAATTTTAAAGGTCCTGACCGCAGCGATCCATTTAAAGCAGATTCGGTATCGGGTTTCGCTATGTTGCTTCGTCCTAACAATTTGAGTGAGATTGTCAATGAATTTACTGGATTTTTCTTCCTTAGCTGTAGCAATTTGTGTCCGCAAGTTCGTTAGCTTGTTTTCCAACTCCTGAAAACGCATTCAACGCGTTAAAAATCCTTACTGTTAAAGTTTTGGAATCTGCAGCAGCTTCCAAATCTTTTTCGTCATCATGTCTTGGCTCGATGCCAGTATACCCTTCAAATATATAAACAATCATGAGCTACAAATTACTTGTAGAATGCAAATTAGTATGCTGAGCCTCGCGAGTTACCGCTTTCGTATGCAAATCTTGATAATTCTTCTCCTTTTTAGCATTCTCCGATTTTTGCTCCTTCAATTGCCGTTTCAATTGCAAAGATTCCGATCTCATCTTCTTCTTATCTTCATTGTGGTTGTTTATCACGACTTTCGAAACGTCTCTTTCATTCTAAAAATCCGAACCATTGGGAAAAATGGGCAATACCTTATGGATTAGTTTGATGTTCTGCAACAATAGAACATCTTCATCAACCTTATCCAAATCCCGTTTGCTTCTACTCACCCGGTTTAGCAATTTTTCTAGGGTTTGCCTTTTGTCCTCCACCTAAAGATTTCGTGGGGATCATGAAAGTTCAAACCTTTCCAGCAAGCGTACTATTTTTCGGGGTTTTATTGGGCAGTCGATTATGTTCAGCATCACCGATTCGTTCAGTCAGTTGACCGCGTTTGAGGCTATTTTGTGACATGGGGAATAGGAGCACCAGGGTATGAATATGAGAAAATATTAGAAGAACATCGTATAGTAGAGCGAGCGAAAAAACGGTTGGTGGTCCTTAGTGGACTACGGTTGCTAGGGTCGACGTGAAATGTTTGAGGGGCGGGAGGGTGGTGTGGAGGAATTCTTTGTAGTAAGAAAAATGAAAAAGCATTGAATTTTCCAAGCTTTTTTTTTGATCGTTAGGGGATAAGATTTTTCGAGGATTATTAAATTCTAATTAAAAAAATAATTCTATAAATTTTTAATTCTTGCGTCTGGGGTGCCGCAGCCTGTCTCATCTCACATAAATTGCATACAAAAATATAAAAAAATATATATAATAAAATTTATTAACTACATTGATTTATACATCTCCATTATAGGGAACACGCGGCAGTCCACCGGTGACATTATCCAGGAAATAGTCTCCGTCTCCACAGTCGTTGCGCAGTTTGCTAAATTAATAATTTTTGTCTTAAATTCAGCATACCGGAAGAATCCCTGCTCTCCCCAATCATTTCCAAACGAGTTGGCCACAATCCAGTACGGTTTTCCATTCTCCTCTCCCCAGCCGACAATTTTCACAGCATGCCATCCATGGGGGACGCAGTTGGCTTGCTAAAATAGTTTTTAAGTGGGTTTTTACCATCTTTGGCAACCATTAAAATAATTGACAGTATTTTACAAACCGTATAAATGCCCGATTCATAATTATTGAACTCGTGGCAGAAATGGAATGACGTCTCCACGGGCCCATAGTTCATAATCTCATACATCACCGAAGTGGTGTCATTGGGCCAGAAGTTATAGGCAGTGATGCCTAAAATATTGATATGCAGTTTTGAATGAGTTTATATACCAAATTTCTTGTCCTCATCCCAGGTCTTGGCATAACCTTTCTGGCATTGCTTGCTGCAAGCTGGGGAATAGGGATAGTCCCAGGGCGTTGTCGTTCCTTGCCAATCTGGGGGGTAGGTCGAATGCGTACAATCCTAAATAATGTAAATTACATTTCCTTCAAAAGAGGATGACATGTTTATTAATATGCCGCCCTTACCCGGAAATAGGTGGTGTTGTGCTGACCACAAGGGGCAAGCCAATAAGGTTGACATCCGGTCTAAAAATTTTCGGTTTTATGGAACTTCATTTGCATACCCCCATGCCATAGCTGTCACCGGTCACGACACCGTACTCGATCCAATATCTCCAGGCCGAAAAGTGATCACCACCACGGCAACCATTACTAAAATCATGATTTTATATGCTTGAAAACACCTTGATCCGCACACAAACACACACAGAGAGAGAGAGAGAGAGAGAGAGAGAGAGAGAGAGAGAGAGAAAGAAATATCTATGGATCATTGTGAGGAAGGAAGTTTATGAGCTAAAAAGCACTTACTCGCTAAAACAATAAGGGCAGCAAGTAGTAATATCTTGCGCCGACAGCTCGTCGTTGAATTTGCCGTTGGTATGGATGCACATACGGTCACTAAAGAAACAAAAGACTTTGATTTTAATAGCTGTAGAAGTCCGTTAATGACTTAATTCTGATGCCAAACCTGAGGGTTGATGCGGCAGCTACAGCCCAACAATCACCACACTGGCTCTGGTCTCGAATGTTAAACAACGATTTGCAGCTAGCCCACTTTTCCCGAGAATCAAAGCTTTTTGGTAGGGAATTTGGGTCAATAGCATGGACCCTAAATTAAATGTAAGTTTCCGGGAGGTTCTACCGTTTTCCAAAGCTCTTCGGCGGCTTCGGCTGCACAAAATCCTTGCTCATCGTCATCGCATCAAAATCTTTGTGGGGATAAAGTTTGGACTGAAAAGTGAATACTTCTTAAGGGTTACAAGTAAAGTATCATACGGTATTTGAGATATTAAAGTACCTTAAATAAAGTTTCCCTTGCATTGACGACATCCACATCGTGCTGTGTCGCTTTCCAGCAATGCCCTAATTTCAACGAGCCGATTATATTCCTATTTTTAACATACCACTAACAAATATGGCAGCAAAAATTAAGGAGCTTATGCCCGTCATCGTTCCACGAGACGCCGGCGTGTTTGATAAGACCCGGGCCCCTTTATATCTTTATCCCCCCAGGATTCCGGCAGCAGTTTTCGCTTGCTGAGGTCTAGGTTCAAATTGATAGGGCGGCGTTTTCCGGGGCTTGAGGTGTGATGGGCTTAATGGTATTTATTGGCATGCAATGGCGGGAAGTGATCACAAAGAAATGGCAATTATTGGGCGGGTTTTCGGCAAGAGCGAATCTTTTTCGGGAATGATTTGGTTTTTAATAAACTCGGGAGTAGAGGCGGCTGGCAAACGAGCGAGCCGTGTTGAAGCTAAAGAAATATATGCAAACTAGAGTTTGTAAATTACCTATGATTTCGGTAGTACTGCCCTCGTCCAGCGTAGTTGGTGCTCATATTCAAATCATACTCTCCACGAGAGGAATAGTTCGGGCCGGATGAGAGCCAATATTTCGACAACGTGCTCACATTCATGCATCCCTTCTTGAACAAGTCGACCGCATCATCGGTTGGCATATACCTAAATTTAAATTAAGTTTTTTTTGTTTTAAGGAAATTTTGAGTTTTTTTTGCGAACCTCACATAGGTCCGCACCGGCGCTACTGGCCGTTCCATCCTGGAATTGTAGTAGTTCGGTTTTTTGTAGAGGCTAAATAGATATACGCTAATTATGCTAGTTCTTAAAACCTGGAAAATGTAGTTGTTCGGCCTTCCGAGAGACGCTTGCTGTTCAAGTTGCTTAAGCCGGTCGAATAACGATATAGCTGAAAATCTAGATAGTTTTTTTGGCTCGTTTTTACCTGATCAGATTCCCTTCTTACATCACCGGGGGTCAATGGATTGCCATAAGAATAACTGGAATTTATATTTAATTTTAAACATAAATTTACACACCGAACATAGGGATATTTGTCGTGATAATGCGGGGTGCTCCTCTGCACGCCAACATTCGTAAACGGCGCAGTTTTCGTCAATGCCGAGGCCGTCAACGTACGCCCAAACATTGTTGAGCCTAAATTTCACTATCTTGGTTACTTTTCCTACATTCCCAAGTCCACTTTCCCCGTGTGAACGCTTCCGGTCTGTACACAGCTGTCTGGGGGAACCTAACAGGTATCAATTTGCAGACTGACTCGCCCCCCTAAAACACAGCTCCCCACCCAATAAAAATAAACGCGAAACATCTGTGTTCGGCGGCCGTTTGAGTGCTATTTCGAAATTGCGAGCCAGGAGTCCAAAAGAACCGTTTATCCGAAGTGAAAACCCAGCGAGAAATGAACAACCGAGGTGCTAGTTTTAGCTGTAGAGGCAGGTAAGTAAATGGGTATCGATCCGTAGCTTAGAATCTATTAGAGGGCAGTGGGTTTGTAACGAAATCAAGCTATGTAAACGCGCGGGAATGAAAGAGTAAAGTTAGGTACAAGTTTTAGAAAAATTTTGGTCAAGTGGGACTGACTATGGGCGGTATAGCCATACTATCATCATGATCCCGAAAATGATCCCCGAGACGGAGACAACTATATAGACCGGATCATAGCCTGAATAGGGGACTTTGTCGATATTTGGCCTGACGAGTAGCATTCGATCCCTACCCGAACGGGACAGCGAACGAGCCATGAAGCCGCCGCCATAACCGTATTGAGGGACTGTCAATGTTGAGGGCATTCGGATTAGCCCGGCATAGGAGTTCGATCTGGATTTTTGAATAGTTTTCGAGGAATAGAAATTTTCATACCGTTTTAGGGCTTGTGATCTGACATCGCTGCGGCTCCGGGTGAGCGGAGAGATCTGGTGGAAGGATGGCGATGTGTACAGCTCGCCCATGTCGTCTGTAACCATTTAGGGTTGGAAGGTTGTTTAGTGAAAGGAAGAATGAGGGGTGGTGACGCGGAAAAGAGAGTGGGTGGAGGATAGAGAGAAAGTGGGTTGGCGATCAGCTTCTATTTACCGAAATCTCAATCGGGGTCCCGACATATCCGGGAAACGTTGCGTAAAAATAGGAGATGGAATGGGGAGCGGGTCTTGAGAGTTAAATATAAAGCTTTGAATCTAGTTAATGGGCGGGTATACATTTTAATTTTATATTCAGTAGCTGAAAGACATAAAAATATGGAAAATCAGAAGAGGCCAGAATGAACTTCTTTAGCATCCCCTTGTTATCTTATGCTTATTTTTAATATGTAAATGATACCAAAAACACATAAAAAACCAGATAAAGCTCCTAATTTCCCATAAAAACCTAAGAACAAACCGCTAGACCAAATCCCAGATTCTAGCCCCATTGATAGCCGATTTACGACAAACAAGCATGTGTTAGCCCAAAGACAATGGCCGAAGTGTGATCTGAGATCTACTCCCGGGGCTCCTCCTTGGTGAGCATGGCTTTGAGCCCCACTTCGAGGGGGAGGGTGATGTGTTACACAATAGACCCCGAGAAAAGCCCGAAAGGGACTCAGAGAGAACCCCAGGGGCCACCCAGGAAAAATGAGGCTGACCCCGCTGAAATCGATACCTTCCCCAAGGCATGGATCACTTTTTTTGTTGGTGTGGCTGATCGACGAGACGTGCGTGGGGCGGAAGGAAGGGTGAGGCTATGCAAACAATACTATGAAATGCTGTGAATGGTTGGACGCTTCGTTTTAATATATCCTACTATAAGCATAAAAATTATGTGTCTTTGGGCATTTGCATGCACACTTCCGTGACGTTGTTTCGCAACCTGGAACTCTCGAGAAGTAGCTTTGGAAAGGAAATAGCCGTTATTAGGTGTAAAATTTTACAAAAATAACAATTATGCTATTAAGGTTAAGATTTTGTGGAGATTATGTACGAAGCAAATAGTGTACGTCGGAAGACGAGAAGCTGGGGGGCAATTTTCATATCTTTCTCGCCAGAGCCAGGAAAATCCTTACAAACTGAGGATTTCGATAGGTCAAATTGGTAAATTAGACGTGGAGGTTTTGCAACCTCGCTAATGTTTAAACGGTACCCTTTCTCCTGCGATAATAATAATTCGACGTCCCATTCTGGCGCTATCTCTGAATTAATTTTCCGCAGCCATCCGACTGAACGACCGAAGACGTGGCAGAACTCAGGGAATTAATGTAAAAACTCCCCTCCAAACTTTCACCCCAACTATCATTCCATACCAATGTTCCGTGCGACAATCATCTTCGCTTCAATATTTTCTCTGTTAACCTCAGAACTGTTAATCAAAGATATCCCAGAAGTAAGTGCATCCAATTTGCTAAGATCCAAATCAGGAGGTTACCACCAATGGCCCCGATTTGGCAAAGCAGTACCTAGAGAGGGTCGGAATTTGCATCGAGGATGCAGATTGTGAACAAATCCTCGGGCAGTCGGGTGGACGCTGTTGGGCCCTAGATTATGATGTGCTTGGAGGGGGAAGCTTTAAGAAATGCTTCTTGGTAGGGCGACTACGATCCTTTAGATGAAATCTTTAGGGGAGTACTCGGCTTGACGAGTGTGCATCTGCATACGACTGTGAAGAAAGTCGGCGGTGCGAGCATGTCGGGATTATTAAGAAGTGCGTTGATTGAAAGGTCAACCAGAAATAAAATATTGTATCACATATTGGTTCACATACTAATCTGTAAATGATATTTACCTATACCGCCAGTTTAAATAGGATCTTCAGTGAGTTACATATGTACACGTATATAGACGCGTCCTTCTTACTAACCCCTAAACTGCATACGCAATATCTTATTATGCAAAACTTTAAAGATTTTTAACCAAAATTCCCCTGATTTTTCGGCGCTACCAAATCGATCCCTGCAATTCCTAGGTTATGCCTTGCACCATCTAAGCAAACAGTCGACTTGTAAGCATACATGGCATGGCAGTAAGGCGAATCTCAGCCGAATAGGGGTCATCGGGGCCGTTGGAGGGGATAGGCGGTGAAGCGTTATTTGCACAACAACCCAGCGGCACCACCCAACGTGGCATAGGTCAACCACCAACCCGGTCCAGCAACTCTTTATGTAAGATTTTTAAAATTCGATTGATTGATAACGCTTATATTATGATTTTTTTTATAATTATGTAACTGAAAATGGAAATTAATGATTTTTAACGGAAAACCTGCGCCGAAAAAGACTCGCTTCAGCTTCGCGACGTTGCAACCCTGGCCCCCTCAGCGCATAAAGCCTTGAATTCTTGATGTTGCATCTGTTTTCCTCGCAATCCTGAGGCTGAAAAATAAATTTATCTAATCCCGTTGTATAACGCTATGCCTACTTTCTGTGTATGCTAATTGTTTCCTCACCAAGAGCATGACCGAAATTTTGACAAAAAAACTTAGATTAGTTTTGTAATCAGTAGGAGAGCGAAATGTGAATTTTACTGTATTCGCAATTAGAATATCTAACAATCGAAGGCCTTCAAATCAATTAAAATATAGCTTAAATTCTCCTTTTTGGTTCCCCTCCGGCTCCCCTCTACCCCCAAATGCCTTATTTGCATGCCCTGACTCATCCTGAGAACGCGTATTGATTTGATGCCCACCGGCCACACGCCGATAGCAACGATGCGCTTTTTGTACGCAACCCATTTTTGCATTTCAGCTGTTGAATATGGACCGGATAGACTAAAAATATGAAGATACGTATATTTCTGCAAATCTTCTGGATCACGACGCCGCTAGGCGCCATTCAGCTTATACAGCCACCGACACGAGACCCTGTTTTGTGGGATTTGGGCGTGACAACAACGACGAGAAAGCCTGGAACGGTCTATTTACCTTAAAAATATAAATTTCCATTTTTAGGCCCCACTACGAGATGAAGTTCTCGTCTCCACACAGCTTGGCAAAATCATTGGCAGAAAGGTTGGGGTTTTCTTGCTTCTTAAATTTTTTTCAAGGTCCATCTCCATGATTTACCCTGGACGCCTCAACAGGACAGATCTGAACAAATTCCAAAAGCAATGTATTACCCCGAGCCTAACCCCATGCCGTGGAAGAATAATATTACGGTTTTTGTCTTCAAGGGAATTCCATATGCTGAGCCGCCCACTGGTCAGCGCCGATTTAAGGTAAGTAAAATCAGACTTCCGATCAATAGCTTGTAAAAATTTATATTCAAAAATTTAAATAATTTTTAGCCTCCCCAACGCCTCAGAAGTTTTCCGGGAACCAGCCCTTTCATCGCCGAACGAGATCCAACTATTTGCATGCAGGATGTGGAGCAAGAACCTCGACTTGGGATCAGAAAACAGTCCCCATGGACGGCTAGTGAAGATTGCCTGTATTTGAATATATTTTCCCCAGATGTAAGTCGCTTAATTATTCTCGGACCTTGTTCATTTTTAGGTGAGCGTGGCATCGGGTCAGCACTATCCAGTTCTCGTTTTTCTACATGGAGGGGACTTTCAAACCGGAAATATGAACGATTGGCCTGGGCATATCTTAGCATCAAGAGGAATGGTTGTAGTGAATGTACAATACCGTTTAGGCGCATTTGGTTAGATTTCTACACTAGATGTGTTCAAGGAAGTTGTTTTTTAGGATTTCTCAGTTTGGGTGATTCGGAAACCGGCAACTATGGGCTGCAAGATCAAAGGGAAGCCCTTCGATTTGTTAGGGATAACATTGCCAGTTTTGGCGGTGACCCAACGGTTAGCATTATTTTATTATCGTTATATATTTTTTTAAAGGCGGTTACCCTGGCCGGCCATGATGCGGGCGGCGTCTCAGCTCAACTACACATGCTCAGCCCATTGTCGAAGGGTTTATTCCGAAGCGCAATGTCATTTTCTGGAGCTGATGTCTCTTATTGGTCTACTATCGGCAAATCAGCTCTTGCATTTAATAATACGATGAAATTAGGACAATATTTAGGTACCTGGTATCTATTTTGCGAAACGATCTAAGCAACCTAGGTTGCATCGACAAGCAAGCCCAAAATGTTGTTAATTGTATTGCTACGAAAGGAGATCAAGAAATTGTTCGTGCCTATACCGAGCCACAGACTCCTATCGAGTAATTATTTAATATTAATTCTGAAGTTTCATAAATTAAGGTATAACCGAGATATGTTTCTACCAACCATCGATGGTCGTGAGATTCTGGCCCATCCACTTTGGGCCCTCCGCGAGGCTCCGATCAACAATGCCTACATCCCATCCCCGGTCCCACTGTACATTAGTCAAAATTTACAGGATGGCTCTGAGGTGGATAGTTAAAAATATTAAAAAATAGAAAAAATCTAGGTAATCGCGCGAAATCGGCGGCTAGGTGAATTTCAAGACTACCAAAGTGTCGACTTGAAAATGATGGAAGGATATACCCTTGAATATGTCTTCCGTCACAATTACACAATGAATAAGGAGGCGCTGGTACAAGCAATTGTCGATCGATATCGCTATTGGCCAGACCAGTCTGATAATTGGTAAGCTCATTCTCTAAAAAAAATTAAATTTTTAGGATGCTCGCCGAGAAGTTTATCGATCTCTGGACGGATGCTTACTATACTGCACCTATTGCTGAATCTGCGCATTTGCATTCAAACGTAATATAAAAAATTAGATTGAGTATAACGTTCACAATTCAGTTAGGAAGGGTGTGGATGCTCGTCAACGCCTACAATTTTTCAAGGGGATACGAAAACTTGCGCTTCATCCCAGACTGGATGGGTAGGAATCGATCGTAATCCAGTCTGATTTTATTTATTTAGCTGCATGCCGGGAATGTGATCTCTATCTGATGTTTGGATACGCTTATGCCCCGCCGGAATTGAGACCTCATTACATGCACGATGTGGTGTTCACTGAAGAAGATCGCAATGCTACACAAATTTTTACAAATATCATTCGACGCTATGTGACGTTCCAGTATGTCGAGATACTATAAAAAAATACCGGTATTTAGGGATCCAAACTTCCAGTCGGACGATACCTGGGCAGCGCATGAACCCAGACGGCATTGGTATTTGAAATTCAACTATACTCGATACCATGCCCTTACCGTACCCGGGGTATTGAAGCGAGATTTTCGATATGAGACGGTGGCATTTTGGAATCAGTATATCGTTTCGGTAAGTCGGCTGCAAATACAAGAAAATGTGAAAATTCAGCTTGTAAACTACATGACAACCACCTTCCCGCCGGAAGTCGTATCAGAGCGTCAAACATTAATATATGCTTATTGGATTATTGGCGTTTTGGTGTTAATATTGATGTTTTTGGCTGTGGCTTCCTTTGGAATGGGATATAAGCTATGTGAAGTAAGTTGGGAGCATAATTAAATTTTCCAAGCGGCATCTAGGCATTTTATGTGCTGAAATTGATATTTTGACCTAATTAATTTTCCCATACTAAATGAAAAAATCAGCAAAGTCAGAATTGCAGATTTTGAAATTATTCCACTATTATTCCAGGTAACGTTACCAATCGCTAAACACGAAGAACGAGTCTTGGTCGATTACACAGATACCTTCCCCTCTCGAGCCAGCGTCACATCTCCACGTAGCAGCACAAACTATGGACGTGTTGAAAGAATGAGTGCTATTTAGTGATGACCTTTCCCCACTTTGAATTTGACCTTTCTCATCCCCCACGGGTACACATATTGATTTGCACTTATCCCTCCCTCAATTATTGATCTCTCTCGATTTCGCCGGCCATGACTAATAAAAACATTTTCGCCCTAATATAAAAAATCTTCGAACAGACGGGACATTTCCCCGTGATTTTCTAGCGAACATGACGCGGTTAATTGCGGGTGCTGGCGCCCGGAATTCGCCATTGCAACAAATCGACCACACCATTTCAGGCCCTTGATTTTCGTACAATTTTCTGATTTCTGTCTTCGGGTTGGATGATGTTAAATTGGGAAGGAGGAAAAAATATTTAGGCAAACGTTGAGTCAGAAGAGGCGGGAGGGGGAAACCCTTAGCGGTTGTTTACCGAAGGGTCGCCTTTCCCAGGTGGGGCAGCCATTTCAGTCGGTTTTCTTTTTTTGCGTGGCAGTAGTCGTTATAGAGGTTCGTCTTATGAAACATCTTTTTATAACAAAGAACAATTTCTATGCAAAACTAATATTAAAATTTAATTTTGAGAAAAATCGCGAAAGTTATGGTTTTCAGAGTGCTCGGGCTGAATTAGGAGTTTTCAGTTAGTTGTAGGGATTTGCATTATTTTTGTAATTTTATGTTATATCAAAGAACATTTCTATATCAAAAACTGTTAAATTGAGATTTATGAAAAACGGCGAAAGCTAAGTTTTTTAAAACTTTCGGACCTAATAAATTGGAGTTAGCGCTAGATCTAAAAACCTCATATTTTTATTAAACCTAATTACTATAAGTAGAATATATTCAAATGTCAATAAATTTAAAAATCAGCAAATCCTCAAGATCTTTTACAAGTTGCAGAGTTCATCTAGCCCAATAATTCTCACCTAAATGTTAATCTTATCAATCAGTTCCATTGGTCATTCCGGGGGCGAATCCCTATTTGCATGATGATTGGACACCCATTTCTGGTGTCGAAACGGTATCAACGAGGGCGAACTCAGATGGCCCACGCGGATCAAACGATGACTCACCCTCCAAAAGCTGAAAACCTTCAGATTGTGGCCTGGCCATGCACTTCTGATAAGCGCCACACACGCTCATATAGTATAGGCAAGGTTGCGTTCGCTGCCAATACATGTCTGGCGTTTGAATATTCCTAATACCTTTATATTTTCTTTAATTTCTTGTATTCCTTGACCAACGGTAAAGTTGACCGAGTCTAATCATTCCGGCTAGAGCACATATAGCCCCAAGGCACGAACGGCAAACACAAATATTTTTTAAAGTGGCGCCCAAACTATGATTCAAGGGTGAATAATATTCCGCGCGCACGATATTGAAAATATTGTCGCCCCTCTTGGACGGCGTTAGTTTTCTTTCTTCCAATTGTTTTCGATTTTCCATATTTGCTGCGGGTTAGCTTTGAAACACTCTTGGTTTTCAGTTGAGCAATGGCGCTGACCTGTACCGATATCCCGAAGTGTATCTGCTCTTTCATCATTCCGGTGGGTATATCAAAATTAATAATGTTTTTATTATCAAAGATTTAAAAATAATTAAAAAAAATATGTTTCATTTTTAGCCGATCGGCGTTTGGATGGAAAAGGGATGTGGATGGCAATTGGTGGTCAACATTCTACTGACACTTTTGGGGTAAGTTTTCGATACTAAGCGTTGTTAGTTGTGAGTCGATTTAAAAATCTGTAGCACTGTATTAAATATCCAACTCATACTCTATTTTAGTTATTTCCCCGGGCTCATCCACGCCTGCTGCGTTATCGCCTGGTATTAGGAAGCAGAGCCAAATCAAACTCCCCACAATCGGATCTTTGTATTCCCGCCTCTCCTTCCACGCCACGGGTTTAAAACGAACAATTTTATGCATAAATTCCAAATAAACAAGAATTCCGACCAAGAAAAAGATGGAACACACGTAGACAGTGAAACACGTTGCACCCATATCGTCACACTAGAATGATGGCCTAGGAAAATTGAGAACTAATTGTTGGTTCTTTTAGAGAGCTATTGGATTCTTCGCCGTCGCCTTCGGGCGTGTTTTAGTTTTTCGTTATTGTTGGTGTCTTCTTCCGTTGAGCCTTTGCGCTTCGGTTCACACCTTCTACAGCAGGCTGTTGCCAGGTTGAAGGCGAGCACCATGATTTCGATTAGGGTTAGGACGCTGGCTCCTAAAGTACACCCGTTTCTTTCAAGGAAGTAAGTCAAACCTAGCCATAACCCGGCTTGTCCACCAATATCCGACACCATATTAACGAGCTAAAATTCGAATTAAGACGGTGTTTGGGTTTTATTACCAAATATACTTCGCTTTCGCTCAAAATCTCATAACTCAATTGTTCATAATAAATCTCAAGCATGGCTGCGTTTTCACTGAAATATTATATAATTGCAAAAACAAAAAAAAGGTGCCTATAATGTTTGATACATTCGTCGGATCTCATATCATGGCAATCGACGTTAATATCCGAACTTGGCCATTTCGCAGCTGAATATGTGGTACTGTAGACTTCTTCTTGACAGGGATGTCTGTAATACAATTAATCAGTTTTTTTTGTATGCAATTTGGAATTTTTCGTAATAAATGTGTGTTTTTTTCATGAGCTGAATTAACATACCTGCACTGCGGCTTTTTCGTATTTTTCCTTGCGACATTGTCGTTGTTCTTCTGCCAGGCATCAGCTGCCATCAGAATACACTCCCCTAATTTTCAATAAAATTTAATAATATACTATACTTTGCCGAATATCCATCGTATCACAGTTTTCCGCCTCATAAACATCCGGTGTTAGTCGAAACCTAGGGAATCTAGGATCAGCACATCCGCATTTTTTCTGGATCTCCTTCTGATATAGCGTACGATAGCAACCCTGAAAGCAATCTTTCATAAATTAGCCAGTTTTTCAACTACCTCAGGGGTGTAATCATACCCCTCATATATATTATTTTTAGTGGCTGAAAACTGGCTATCATAGCATGGATCTTCTGGGATATGAATGCGGTTGACTTGTCGCTAAAAAAAGGGTTTTTTTTTCAAATGGATTTGGAAGTTTACCAATGATATACCAAAGCTGCTTACGGCCCCTGTAGGTGCACTATAGCCAAAGGTATCTGGGAATGGCCGATCTTTTTTGCCTATATAAAATTAACGTTTTTAAGCTTTAGCGATCATACCATGAATAACAATCCGAACCCCGGTTGCCTCGGTCGTTGGCAAATAATCAGTAACATTCACGTAGAGCATCATTCGAAGCCCTAAATTTCCGGAATTCCCTTTGGTTATTTGAAGGAGTTGCGTATGTCTAGACAAGCCGGTAATCGAAAAGCGCATAAAAAGCAGGATTGGATTTTGGAGGGGGGCTAGACCACTGACCATGGTTAGGGCCCGCTCGGCTGCTGGTTTTGTTGGATTTCCGGTTCCAGTTGAAGGTGAAACAGTTGCCGAAGCTTGGATCGACCAAAGGTCTGAAAAGGAAAATGATAGGTACTAAAAACAATGAAACGCCATCTTTCTATGTATTTCTATGTATTTCTTTCTTTCTTTCTCATCTTCATCTACTTAGAAACTACTTAGCAACCCCCATTTTATTTCCTCGAAAAACCTTTATCTAGTGCGCTCGACGAGAAAAACAAACTTGAAGTCCCTAGAGATATCGCACTGCTTGCCGTTGAAGGAACACATCTTGATGAATTCTTCTTTGCCATAGGAAAGAGCGGCACGATGACCTTCTTCAACAGACGCCATTTGCATAATTAACCTAGACGAAAAACCAAATTTCGAAACGAAGACATAAACCCTACAGTTCTTTTGTGACAGTCGTGATAGTGACCTGATCGGTAACATTTTCATAACCACTCGATCGAAGTTTTTCAAGGTAATCTAAACAGCTATGCAAATTAAATCGAAGAATGCCTACCTTTCAAAAAAGGCGAGCCAGCTTTTGGGATTGTCTTTCCCAAAAAATGCCAGACATGTTTTAAAGATGCCGGCTTTAAAAGGCAATAACCCGTATTCTAAAAATCGGAATAAATTCCCAGATGTGGACAAACCATATTACACATGCATGGGATCTGATCGACCCCTGTAGAATTCGGAATATTGCAATATCCCATATCATTACATTCGGGGCAAATGGATTCTTGCCAAGTTCTGGAAAATAATGATTATTATCCCTTGAAATAAAAATACTGGGAATTGAAGCACGGCCAGGCCGTTCGGTCGAGATTGTCAAAATTGCATATACAGGCTTTCTTCAGGTTTTCAGGTACTGTCGTCTTTTTCCAGATGCATTCCTAAACAAATCAGCTGTAAAAATCTTAAAGAGTTTACATGATCATGCCCACGTATGCAGTCGCAATCAGATAACACAGGTTCGAACTGCACAAAGCGGAACATTGGATCTAAAGGATTTTATGTTATTTGCCTGTGTACTAACATTTAGGCCTGCCATTGGCATCTCTCTTCTTTCTTTCCTTTTCTTCTTCATGAATATGTGCTTTACTGTAGATCACTGCTTGATGGTAGTTGTCAAGCTAAGGATCATATTTAAAAGTTGTTGGAGCCCCTACCGTTTCTCGGACTTCACTAATCCCTCGTATTGAATGTTTTTTGAAGGGATTCAAATTACATACGGTAATTGAGGGGAAAGGTGGGGATTCGAACATTAACTGAATTAAACACTTTTTGGAATAACTTAGAAACCCACAGCAACATTAACAATTTTGTCGTTTTTCGAATATCTTGCGTGCACTTGGCGGCACTGATATATGAAGACACAGAGTGAAACAAAGCTGAAGCACACCCAGATGACCCGCATAACGATCGACTTTGTCGACATAACCTAAAGTTAGTTTAATTTTTTTAGCTTGATCGCGTTTTGCCTATTTTTCTTCTCGATCTAGAACCTCTCGCTTTACATCCCAGTTGAAACTTGTCTATGTTTTCGCTCTTCCCCTCTTGTTCAATCTCAAAAGGGCAATCTCGGGTCGAATAAGGGCTATTCCTTCTCAAGGAGAAGCCTTTTTTCCGGGATTAGAGATTCGGGGCTGGGCCACGGGGCCAGGGGCCATAGAGGGCCCAGTGGGGTCTGTTTCTGCGCCGGCGCCGGTCCCTTGGGGGCCCTTTTTCGCGCCCCTATCGGCCCTCACGCGTGGAAATATGTGATTGCAAGGCTCACGACCCAAATGAATTGCTTTCTCGTACAAGCTGGGAGGTTATGGGCCTGGGAAAAACGAGTTTGGAAAGGGTTGGCGAGGCGCTAGGCAGACGGCAAAAATTTAAATTTCGCTACAATCTAATCAAAAGTAAGAAAAGTATAACTGCAAATTTGGCAGATAACCAAAAATTGGAAAATTTTCTACTACAATCTGGGGCTGTAGGTTTGGAGAAAAACTCGAGCCCAATGAGCTTGGTAAAACGGTAGACTAGCCTTAAGCATCTGTATTTTTAGATGAAATCGATTGGAAGGCTTGATAAACAAATCCGCAAATTTCCAAGCTGATCAAAAATCGGAAAATGTCATAGAAAAAAAAAGATGTTTTACGGGCGCTGTTTAAATTTGTAAATTCAATAACTAGGCATAAATCCCTACCATTGGAATTCCATGAGCAGTCGTTGTATCCATAAATTCAATAACATTCTCCTTGAGCTCCTCGCGCAAATCTCGTTGCATCCGATTGACATCCTAAACAAATCAATAATAAGCAAATCGTAGCCTCTATAATTTTTGCGATACCTTTGACACCTCAACAATCCGATCTTTAAAAGATTTACGCCGCGTCAAACCGCTACTCGGCCTAAGCGTCGCTCTAGGGGTCTCATCAACAACGATGCTAGGAATAGAGGGGAGTTCCGGATCAAGTAGGGCTTGTCTAGGGTCACGACAGGGACGCCTGATCCGGGGGCCCTTCTTCAAAATGGGCCTTGGAGACAAAGCATGGCCGGAATCAGAGAGTTTAGGGGAATTCGTTTCGCTCGAGAATCCAGACGGAATTTCTTGATATCCAGGTTCAACCCAGGGAACTTCCGTTTCCCTGGATGCATCACCGGGGAAGCCGACATCCGACTCGGTGGGGGTCGGAACGGCAAGTAGCATAGCATTCGAAGTTCAGTGTAGCCAAAACATCGACTAATGTTAGACGTGTATGTCCGGGATGGGAAGGGCGTTCATCGGCCAGGATCTGCCTTATCTTCCCCTAGTAGAAGGGGGGGGATGGGGCGGTGCCTTTGGGCACAAGGCCCCTACGGCCCATCCGTCACCACCAACACCACCACCACCACCGCCAACATCCCTTCGAAACAATGAAAATAGCTGCCCTGGGATGGGAAACGAGTTGCCGTTGTGAGGAAGGATGGGGTGGAGGGGAGGGGTTGAAGTTTTATTCTTTTAACTAACTAAGGTTTAGTAAGGTTGAGGGAAGAGAGGATTTTTTTGGGAAGCTCCGTGTAGTCTTTTAATCGCAACGGGGCTTTTCTTTGGTTATTACAAAAAATTTTATGGTGAAATGATTCTCACAAGGACCAGGTTTGAGGTGATGTGGCCGTTTCGTAATGTAACGCAGCTCATTTCACAGAGCGTAAAATTCTGAGCAAGTCCTACGTTCCAAAAAATTTGCTGAACAATTACGGTATATAGAAGCAAATGTGCTTCCAAAAGAACGGTTTTACTCGTTTTTGGCACTTGCTTAAAGGACAAGTTCCGGGAAGTTTTTTTGGAAAAAGGCAAAGAACTTTTGCCGCGGCCGGGGGTCGAACCCGGGCCCCGCACCCGGGAGGCGCGGATGGATACCAGTCAGCCACAGCCACAACCTGACGGGGGGAGGGGCGCCCCCCGCCGCAAAGGAGGGAAATTGCCTCCCACGGCACGGGCAGGCAGTGCGCGCGGTCCCTACGTCCATAGGGTGTACACGTTGGGACGAGTACACGGCCCCTCCCTGAACGTGCGCTTTAACAAATGAAAACTTTAAGAAACTTTTCTCGAAAGCCTTTTTCAGCCGTTTTTGAACGCTGGAATTTTCTTAGAATTTCAAGCTCTAGAGAAGGGGCTCTGCGAATATCGCAAAAAATTCCGCGAAACACCTAAAACGATCGCTTGTAAGCAAAAATAATTCTGCGACAAAAATTTTTCGAGTTGCCCCCCCCAAAAATCGGGTTCGTGTACGCCCCTGCATACATCCTCAACTAGCAACTGCAATTCCTACGAATTCCAAGTTTTTCAGACCCTTTTGAACCCCTTGGACCTCTCTCCTTGTTTGTACTTATGAACGGCCAAGGCCTGGCCCCCCCCCAACAAGCCCCCTTTCCAAGCAGGAACACTTCACGGAGAAACGTAGATAATAGATAATGGCTCCCCCGAGACGCGTTCCCCGCGTAGTGCCCAATTTCGGCACTTTCTCCCAACGGGACGTCCGGAAGACGGGCGTTTTTGAAGCCATATTCGCCGGGTAATGTGCCTCGGGGTGAAACGGGGTGTTTGTGGGGGGTGAGATTCGAGTGTGGGTGGTCCAGTGGTGTTTGGAAAGCCAAGGTTCCGGTCTTCTTCTCGAGATTGAAAAATTATAATGAAAAGGGGCAAGGTATCTAAAAATAGTGGAGTATAATCAAAACCGGACCTAACTTGGACAGCATAAACCAATATTAAAGGAACTATAAAGTCATTACGCACTAAATCCAGGGGATAGATGATATTAACAGCATCTTTAGTTCCTTTCAAATGTTTAAAAAATTTAAGACTTAAAAACAACATCACAATAAGATAGGGACGCTAACAAACCCGCTAACTTACTCGAAAAAATCCCGACAGTGTAAACAACGGCTTTTCCTCAGACATCTAAGCGAATACAAGGGGTCCGGGAAGTATCAAGATGGTTCAAGGCTCAACACCTCGGCCAGACAAATGAACGTCGGCTACTTCTGACCCAAAAGCTAAAGCCTCTTGGGAGATGGATCCGAACCAACACCCTCTTCCCTCCACTCGACACCTCGCTCCCCTCATGGGTTTTTTATCGTCAGAACAGATGATCTGCACTGGGAGGAGGAGGAGGAGTCGGGAGTCGCACTTTAGAGCTCAGGGTTGCTTGAAAAACTTAAGAAAAGTGTGGAGTGAGCTATTCTAAGGTTCAAGCTAACAAAATAAAATAAAATTGAAGATTTTAAAGCCGCATACCTTTCCACAATGTATAGCCACCTCATTCGAATTGCCATATCCATTCAAAAGCACCGCAGAAGATTCACTTTTTAACATCACCGGCCCGCAACAAAAATATATCCAACAACGACGTTTCAGGGCTATTGTGGGTGGGAGCAACGCTCAATATGGGCCTTCGAGCCCACGGGTACTCAAGTAGCGATGGGCCCTTTGATGCCCTCTGTGATAGCAAATTCCCAGCTCTCCTGCTCTTGCTCGCCCCTCTATTCCTTGCTCGCTGCTGAGTAAGGCTAGGTGTTTCCCTTCTTGGATTCTCGGGGGGGCAGGGGTCGGATGTTAATTTCATTATATGGGAGGGGTTAGGGTGAGATATTGATTGGAAATACGGGAGGGTCATTGCTGAAAATTAAAAAAGTGACACTAAATCATGACCACCATAATCGAAGATATGCTGCGTTTTTTGCAGCTATAGGAACGCATGAATTTTGGGAACAGCCGCCTATTTTCGGAAACAGCTAGAAATTGGGAAATTTTTGGTGTACTCGGGTGTAAACCGACATGACAACTTAAAAACTAGCTTAAAATCTTGAATGCTATGATTGCTTGAATACCAAATATTCTAAATAAAAACTTATATATGTCAAAATGTGTCCCCACCTCCTTCAAATGCAACACCGCATCAGACAACTTTCGGGCGTAGACATAGTCAGGTGGTTTTACGGACAGCATCGTCGAACGGCACTTTATCTGAGAGCCAAGATATCTTGAGCTTCAATACCTGGGCCCAAAACCCCTCTCCCCCGCGCCCGACAACCCGTTAATACACGATTTTCGGAGAAATGCCAGAACACTAGGCCAAGCTGGCAAAGGGGGCCGAATGCATGTTGGAATGTCTGGTTTTTCTGTTGATACATTCGGCCCGTTCTTTTTTCGGGTTCAAAGTTTAGACTTCAAAAATCACGTGAAGTACGGTAGGCTGAATTTAAAAAGCAAATAAACAATATAAAAAATACCGTTCCATTCTCGTTCAGCACGACGGTAGGGTAGCCTTTGTCACGTTGAAACATGAAGGCCTTAAAGGGATACCCAACCTTTTCGGGGCTCAAAAAGCAAAAACCATGACGCGGGCGGGGGTCGAACCCGGGACCCCCGCTTTCAAGACCTGGATGCTACCCATCAGGCCATAGTGGCAAGCCATTGGTCGAGATGGGGACGCCACAAGGGGGAGAGGAGTCCGAATTCTGTGCGGCACTGGGCATCCATTACCGCACAAAATTGGCGCGTCATTTGTACTCCCCGGAATACATAACTATATATTTGCCGCCAAAACATTGGGTATCCCTTTAAGCAAGAGCTAGTTTTGCTGATTGAAATATAATAAATAGATAAAAAATTTGAAAAACCGCACGTAAACCAGACCAAAATTTCGCTAGCCAAAAACAAAGCATATGAAAGTGTGGGTTTCGACGAGGGGTGGGCGTTCAAGGGGGGGCCAAAACTGAGGTAATCCAGGCCATCCTTTTAAACGTCGAATGGGGTTCTGTTGCTGTTTCTTTCGTTTTTTTTTTGTGTGCTTCTGAGAGGCCCCTGGAGGGCCTTGGACGGTGAAATATTTAGTCTTTCGACAAATTCGTCGAACATGTTTGATTCGAAGGGCGGTGAATGGAGGATGGGAGGCCAAAATAGACTAAAAATGGTAGTGCCGAAGAAAGATTTCGTGTATGTATTTGTTGATGTAAACCAAGGTGGTATAAATAAAATCCTGGTGGGCAAGGTTGGTAGATGGATTGGGTCGAAGGTTGCTATTTAGGGAAGTGGTTGGTTGGCATTTGGCATGGAGTGCTTGGGGGAGAAGCCTTTTGACCTCTGGGTGCCAATGGTAATCTTATAGCAGCCACCGCTACTAACTAACTTATACGGATCGGCAAGGCGTTGGCAATTTCACGCTTCGTCGCGCTGATTAGAGAATTGTATGCAAATTTCTATTTAGACAAGCTGTGATTCGATACCTGACCAATCTCGATGCGTCCCAATAAAGAAACCCCTTCGATATTGTCAGTAATCACTGAACGACTGGTTTTTGGAAGAGTTGATGAATAAAACGTAATTGAAGCTGCCGATTTAAACGATATTTTCATAAATCAAAAATTGTCCAGAGAGAAAACGGTGTCCTCTTCATTTTTATAAACACATCGAGGTCGAAATCCGTCCAAAGCCCGATGAAACCTTAATTTAGCTTGTGAAAAACCTTGTGAAACCTTTGTTTTATTTTACACTATTTTGTTTTGAAAATTTAGCTGGTAAAAAAAAGAAATTTGAATCAAATCGGGTAGAAGATTTCCAAATGCCAGTGGATTTTGGGACACCATGTATATTTTCAAGCAATGATGCTAAATTGCAACCCAAACACTGCAAAAGTTCAATAAAAAAACCGTTCAAACCTATTTAACCTCTTTTTTAAGGCCCACCCACAGCTCTTCAGACTCTTCAAACGGAAATTACGTTCCGTAAACGTACCCCACCCCTTCCTGTTGTCTACCCTTTTACGTGCGTGCATCTTTGAACTCTCCTTCTTCACAGAATTCTTTATTCATTTTACCAGTACTACAGTTTAAATATTGGGCCAGAGAATGGGGTGGGACCGGCAATCCGCGAGCCCCACCCCCAAACTCCGTCTCCCATTCAAATATCGCTAGCGGAGTAGAAGAGAAAATGCCAAGAAAAGACAAAGAGGTGTGATGTCCAAATGGTAGGGTCATTCAGAGAGGGTCCAAAATTCAAATTGTTCTAAGGCAATCAAGTTTTGAGTCTATAAGCAATTGAGATAGGATGAAATTGTTCGAATTTTTCGCTTTCTCTCAATTTGCTATAAACCCGTAAATAGTGCACAATATGGAGTGATGGGAATAGAATGGGTAGGCTCACATTCGCGTGAATAGATGGAGGTGACATTTTTGTTGTTTTGTGCAATGGCCCTATGGGGGCTGCTGGGTATAACCTGATGGTAAGAGGGGAGGAAAACTGTGGTGAAAATGCACACGCTGTTCGACTCAAGAATATAGCTCGGCCCGTTCACAGTTTTGCATAAGCATCTGCTTAGCTTTCAAGCGGCTTCGAAAAGTCCGCAAATAAGAAAATTTGTTTTTCAGTGACAATCGTTGCTTAGGCACTTCTACGGAAAATCAATTCCGGTTCACAAAGAGGGCGAGCGAAACGCTATAGGGTAGGTAGATGGGTACGTGGGGAAGGTGTACAAGGGGGGCTGAGGGTTCACTTGATCTTTGTACTGAAATAGAGTTCAATTCATAAAATTTTTTGGAAGAATTCAGATTCACGGTACCGGCTGCTGCTTGCGAGCAGTAAAACTTTTTTGAGTTGTGGCAAAATGTTTAGAAATTTTGTGGAGATCAGGCGTCCCGGGACATTTTGAGAAGGCGTGTTCGGACTTGATGGTGGTATTTCTCGACCCGGGATGATGGCTGGGAGGTTTTTGGGCTGGCCGGACGAACCGGACGGGTTGGGATGGTGACTTGGACACCACGCACGGTGTGCAAGGAAGCTGGCTGAAGGAGATGGGCTGGGGAGGCCAGATACATGCGAGGGTTGCCAGGGAATGACCGTATGGGTGGGAAACGACCTGTGAACGCTTGGACACGCATGAAGGGGTGGAGAACGAGCTGGCGGCCCTGCTCAACAGCACGAGATGGGAGGATGGGCCGGGATTGGGGGTCAGCGAGGAGACCAGGCTCATGGGGACCGGGTGGCGGTAGAGGAGCATTGGCGGCTGGATGGCCCATCATGATCAGGTGTTGCTTCGCCAACAACGGCAATGGTGGAAGGCCCGCACGAGTGCGAATCTGTTGCATCTGTGGCGTCAACGGATGCTGAAAAGGGCGAATTATACAATGTATCTTACAAAAATAACCCATCATTTTGGATGTAATAGTAAGAACTTACACATTCGCAACGTCCAATCCAAGCCCTGGTGGGGAAGGGTGAAGCCGTGTTCTTCCATCCGAACATCGCCAGTTGACCAGCTGTTGGGCGATGAATAGGATTTCTCCTTAGCATGCCCATGATGAGGTTATATGTGCATGTGGTCAGCTGGATGAAGCGGGGGATGATGATACGAGCTCGCTTGATCTTCTGGAAGACGGATAGGGGACGTTGGTCGAAGAATGGATAGCGTCCAATCAGCAACAGGTACAGAACGACTCCGAGGGCCCAAACGTCGGCCGGCTTTCCGTGGTATCCAGTGCACTTTGAGCTCAGCAGCTAAAAACGCAAGATTAATCTCCCACTACTTCGAATTTCACGATGTCCGTTTAAAGTAACACTCACCTCTGGCGGAATGTAAGCCGGGCTTCCAAACTTCTCGGTGATCAGATCGTTTTCAGGATCATCACAGATGTAGACATCATAAGGCGCAGCCAAACGCAGCTGGATACGACGTCCATCAGTGAACAGAAGCTTCCTTGGCTTCACTTCCCGGATGACGATGCCGAGGGTGTGGCAGAAGTCCATCAGGCGGACCAGCTAAGTAAATCGTAATGAGAAACAATAGATTCTCGTTACCTCCTTAAAAATCGGCGCCACGTCGGCCTCCGCCATATAAACGGACTTCCGATGCGCAAATGCATGCAGCGAGCCCAAATGGCCCGGCATGATCAGAAGACGACGACCAGACTCCTCGACCACCATCTTTGACTTGGAGGGGAAAACACGCTCCCTGAAAAGAACCAATTATTCCAGCCTAGGATATGGGCCAAACCTGAGATCGAAAAAGTCGTGCTCATTGTAGTATTTCTGGCCTTCAAGCAGACGTTGGACGAGTCGAACGACCGTGTCGTATTCCTTGTCACTCAGAACCTTGACCGAGACGATTTCCCGGGTCTGGGCATGGACAGCTTCAGCTTCCAGGCCGGCTCCAATGATCTCGTATTCGCCAACAAAAGTTCCATTGAGAAGCGGGCTGAGACGGGGCACCGTCTTTTCCTCAGGGACAGTGGGGATCGGTTGAAGTCGAGGGGTGGCAGGAGCCGGGGTGGCTGATGAGGTAACGGGAGATTGAGGTACGGGGACCTCTTCGTCGGAACCGCTGTCTGACGAAGTTTCGGCTTGTGATGCGGCGAATCTCTGAAAATAGATGGTTAATGGAGCTGATTAAAATGTTGTATTTATAATTGGAAATAAGTAGATTAAATCTCACCTTGGCCGGTGGTGGTGCTGGCCCTCCGACGAGGAGGCGCTTGCGCGCCCCCATCACGGAGCGAAGTTCTTCGTGCTGGGCGTCATATGGCAGGATGCGACTGCTCATCTCACTGGAATGGCATCTTTAGTTAAGAAAATTGTGGTTGTATGGGATGCACCCGTTGTTTGCTAGAGCAATTTTTGGCCGCCGGCCTGTTTATCTAGACGGGTGGTTGGGTCTGTAAATGGGGGTGTTGCGAAATAGCGTATCAGACAGTCGGGGGAGTGGAAACTTGGGGAAGATGAAGGAAATTTCTCGAACCATGATGTAAACTGGTAACGGGGAGAGACTAATACCCGAAAGTATTGAAGGTAGCTTGAGAACAGATGGTTAAATTACCCACCCATTGCCGCACACGCAAACCCGTAGTTGTACAATTTGACTAGGAGGAAGTTGTGGAATACCAGTGACGGACATTGTTTAGAAAAGGTAAATTCCGGGGAGTAAGCTCCAAATATATGTACGGGCGGGAGATCGAGGCCGAGATCCGAGTGACTAGTGAGTGAGTGTGGAAGTGGTGGGGGCGGTTGGGGGCTGTGCAGGGGGGGAGGGCGACACGCCGCCTGCGTCTCATCCCAGCCCCCGCTCTCTCTCCCACGCCCTCCCAACCATTCCCAATATTTCACAAAAACCTTTCGTCATCCGAGCCCCTGGTCGTCGAACTGATGAAATCTTACGTGGCACCTGGGTTATCCAGAAATAATCAATCCCGGAATGTTCTCTTTCGCTATGGCCACACGGGTTGTTGCCTAATGCGCCGTAAATATGCTGAAATGCTAGTTCGTTGTAGCGAGCACCTTGGGAAAATCGGCTACCCGCACTGAGCGGCCAGTTATATTTCTATTGCTCGTAGTCTACTCTAAATCTTAGACGAGTCATACCCCATTAGTTGACCACCTCAAGATAAATAAAGGTCTTAAAGTTACTCGAGTTTCAAAGTTAAAATCAATTTTGTGGCGATAATTCGCAACATAAGAGGCGCAGATGAGGAAGTGCGCAAACCGCAATTTTTTCGCTGTAAATTATGACGACATCGCAAATCCTCAGGGGAGGAACCTAATCAAAATTTTCCAGCCTCTGGTAACCCCCGAAAAATGCAAATCCCCTGGGATTTTGTAATCCGCTGACTCATTTGGGGTCTCCGGAGACATAGCCTATAAATTGGGCGCAACGCTCTTAGAAATTATGAGGCATAACATAGCAGAAACCCTTTAGTTCGTATGCAGACACGTTGATGCCCATGCTTACGCGTGCATATTCTCAGTTCACGAGTGGTGACTAAGATCGCGTCAGCAATTTTCGCTCACTTCCGGAAATGCCAGATTTTGGTGGATGTTGGTCAATGAATACGCAAAAAACCTCTGACGCTCATTTCGCAATCGACTGGTGGGCATTTTATTCAGCCCCATATGTATTCACGTTTTATTTGGCCGCGGACGGTGGTCGCGCGCGGCGCGGGAACACCGCCATTCCCAGATTTCAGCATCGTCGATGCGAAAAGGGGGAAGAGGGGGCGGAGAGGCCATGTTGAAAAATGGGCCGTTTGGGCGATCGGTGGCGAAACGATTCGGAAGAGATATGCCATTGGGTTGGGTGGGCATGGCGAAAATTGGCGCAGGGTTTCGAAGAGTTGCGCTAGAATTGCATAAAGGGACAGGGAAGATGAGTTATGGCGGGAAAACGGTTCTGGAGGATGGTAAGAGGGCCGACGGTAAGTTTGATGGAATTTTTGGACTGCGATGTTGAGATGGTATAATTTTTTGGTGCGGTGAAACTTTAAGCAATATGCAGCCAGTCATCATCACCGCGTTACTGGTTAATAAATTTATGCAAAAGAACGATGATGAGGCAGTCAATAACTTCTATGAAATTTCACTAGGACTACTGTAGCTGCCTAAAAATGATCTAGTTAACCTTTTTATCTTTTATTATACTTGTATACTTCACCATTACCCCCATCCATCATTACCTGTAGATCAATCGATCTTTGCAAGGCGTTGCATCCTCAGCTTTTATAGTTCTTAGTCTCAATTTAGTAATTGGGTATCAAGTTTCGGGTAGGCTATGCCTACAGCCCATGCTCTGGGGTCCTTTTCTAGCAGCGGCCCATTTCCACATCCCCCCTTCCCCGTTCAACCCCCTCAACAATGTCGAAATACTTCCCCGGGCATCCCAAATGGCAGACAACATGGACAGCACATGGTCGGCCATCTCTACCCCCGGCGATGGCTGCTTGAGAGTTGCAGATCGTTGCACTATTGCTGGTTGAAGGGTGCAAACGGGTTGCAGGGGCTTGGGCGAGAGAAAGTCGGATTGGTGGAAGTATTTAGGTATTTGTCGAGCCTTAAACATACTGAAAAGAAGCATTTTGTAAGCAGAAGCAATCTAACGTCCCTAAAAAATAATCGGTCGCTGAGAAAAAGCGCAATTTTCATTACGCTTTTTCCGCAAAGTCACCCCCAACCTCTAAGCATCTGGAGCCATAAAATTCGAAAAAAATGATTTTTCTAGCTAACGTAAGCTTCAACCCTCTTAAATCCATTCTATCTCTGAACATACCTTAGAAAAACAAATTTTGATACGGCTTTTCCTCGGAAATCACCTCTGTTCTTTAAGTTCTAACATGCCCTCAAATACGGAAGTCAGCCATGTCAAGCCGAAAGGGCCTGCAGCTTTCCTAGAACTTTTAGATCTCTGAATATACCTCACAAATAAGTACCAAATCTTGGTACCATCCTCGCTCAAAATCAGCACTGTCCTCTAACTACCAGAAATCCGCTTTTTCATCAAAATTTCACCACCCATCCTTTTACCTAATGACTACCCTTGTAGCCCATCATTCCCCTATTCTCATTCCAGCACATTCCCCACAATTCCACCGCATTCTTATCATTCCCCGGGCCCAGCTGGTGCCTATAGTTTAAAGCAGTTCGAACTGCCCCGTTACGGTCAGCTTATCACGCAAATGATGTGTGTTCGGATCTGTGATTCCCCTGCGATGCCAAAAAATTATCACTTTATCTGTGCGCCGGGCGGGGGATCGATTGACGCGAGCTGTGTCTTTGTGTGTTTCGAAGTTGGCGAGAGGTTTGGGGGTAGAGGCTGCTCACGTGTCGTTGTGAGAGGCGGAAAAGTGGGAAGTGGGCTGGATGAAGAGGTTTTGGAAGCGGGAGGAGGTGAGAGCAGAGAGCACTGGGAAGCCGTTTCGCAACGGAAGACGGGGCGATGCTAGTGACGCAAAAGACCACCGTACACACGGAGGGTGGAGAGGAGAGAGAGGCGCCTCCCGATTTGGGGGTGTTCGATCGATTGGACGGATTGGGATCGATATCGATAAAGTTCCTTAAAGAAACAGAAAACCACGAAAGACCTAAGATATTCCTAAAGTATCCATAATGCAAAATATGAAGGACGCCCAGAAACGGCACGATTTGCATCCAAAATCCATTTGCGTGAACAAATAGCTCCTTTTTATGGTAAGTTTGATTTTTTCGAAGAGATCTTTTCCGGTTAGTGTCGATTTCATAACCCCAACCTTTTCCAAAATTGAAAGTAAATCTATCGATCGCGCCGTACTCATCAAATATTTCTGCTACATGACCGCCGATGTTTTTCCAAAAATACTCCGCCTAATCCAACTTTGTTGACTCACAAATTTCCAAAACCTAACCTCCTATTTCCTTAATCCGTTTCTAGACACCCTCCACCTCCCCAATTTGGTACATTTTTCTCACCCCCCCCCTTCCCCAATCAATCTAAGTGACCAAATCCTCCTAACATCTACTTTCGAAAAACACCCCCAATTTCATGGCATCACCGACAGCTGCAAACAACTATGTCAATACTCCCGGCGTTTCCAAAAGTGTTACCACCTGCCCGGGGGACATTGATAAAAAAGGAGCACCACTTATAACCATGATAACTGGACAGGTGGAAAATGTGAGCCTCGCCTCGTTTTTTTAGGTTTACCCGGATGATTCACCCAAACAGCAGCCATATGAACTCTCTTTGCACGGTACCCAGGTTTGATTAGTCATCAAATCGATTTCCCCCCGCTTGGCTGAATGGCTGCCCGACTGACGTACGCCCGTTTCCCAAATAGCATCTTTCCATCGTCCCCCAACCACACCAAATATCAACGAGCACTCCTCAGCCTGTTTCCTTCGATATGGACATATTTGCAATGTTTTGGTAAACGTTCCCTAACCTTGGGGGACTACTTTCTGAGGGTAAAGATGGCGATATGGCAACGTTCGATCTCGTGCTCCGATAAGCGCCTGTGTTTTTTTCGAGAGCCCCACTTGGGGTGAGAGTTGAAATTGCAATTAATCGCGCGATAAGCCATCGATTTTGGGGGAAGGCTTACGGTGGACTGAGGGTGACGTAGCACATCCTGGAAGAGATGGCGGGGTAGAGGTCACAGAATATGGAAATAGGGTCAGGGTGTGTGATTGGAGTGGTGGGTGTTTAGTTCTGCGCCCTTTATCTACGATCGACTACGTGTTGGGGGATGCCGCCAACAAAGTGCGACCAGACGGTCCTCTCACGAAAATTGCATCATGACTAACACGTCGGCTTGGATTTTGCAGGTTTTTGTGGGGCCAATGGTTGGAGAGAACCGGTTTCGCGGCGGGAAAAGGTCTGCGAGTATCGATCGATATTGGAGTGGAGGTGAAAAATCGATAACTGATTGGGGGTAACCTAGACTACACTGACCGCCAGTTTATTATTTCTAGCTTCCTTATCGATATTTAGTATATTCTACAACGAAAATAAGCTTTAGCTCCTTGCTTCAAAATCGGCTAAAATTTCGCAATAAATCAAAGAAGCCAGCATCCCGGGAAAGTCTATTCGTGGTACAAAGTTCTCTAGATCATTCTCACGCTTAGCTAGTTGCCATACTTTGACCTTGAATCGATCAATACTCAAATGACGCTAGCTTACTTTATAAAATTACGCATACAAAGCCTAGGACATAAAGCTTGAATTTTATCAACATGAGCAACGGCAAGGCTTATTTTCCTATGCTGCAAAAAATTACACTAAAAATCCCACCTCCCCATCCCAAAAACCAACCTTTCCGTGGATGATTGTGACTTCCTTGAAGAAGAGGACTTGAGGTTCTTTGAAGTTGAACGAGGCGGTAAGCAATTGCTTTCCGGCCTTCTCCTCAGTCACAGCAGTCGCTTCAGAGACGAGCCATCGTAGCCGAGCTTCGTCGAGACGTTGGTCACAGCGTGCCCTGGTCGCGCCGGTGCCTTCAGCTGCTCCAGCGCCCACGGTTGGGCGCAGCGCGCACGCGACGCGGCGAGAGTGTGGGCCCCGGGTGAGAAGCGCCAGACGGCGCAACGTATTAGCCCACGCGTAAAGAAAGGGAGAGAGAAGGGGTGGGCTCTTTCCTCATGCAACCCCCACCACACACACGCTGCGATGCCGCGATTTCGTCACGTCTTTCCTCTGTTCGTAGGGTCTCGTCAGTGGATCTGACTGTCTGTGTTCATGCACACTAACCCCCCCCCCCTCACACAGCCACACATACATACATACAGACATTCAGACATACATACGCAACCTGTAGCCCTGCCGCACATGACAGCCCCCCCGACCCCCAACCCCCGTCGTACCGCATTGCGAAATTCACATCGTCCACCACCACACAGCCTGGAATCTCAAACACAAAAATACCAACAATTTATAGATATCCTTTTTTCATTTGACCCCATGCCTGGTCAGCGATCAAAACTGGCGAAATTTGTTGTGTACCCTGTCTAGGTGGGGGATCGATCATTGGCAAAGACAGTGTCAACAACCGGCCAGGGGAAGCCCACCACCCTGATCACGCCGGCACACTACAACACCTACATAACAATGGGGCAACGAGATGGGGTGGGCAGCAAATAAATTTAACACACAAAAGGAAGGGGGAAAGGGCGACTGGGGGGAGATGGTTTTATCGTGGGGATTTTGTAAGGTTATTTCAAGACTGAGGATTTTGGGGCGTTAAACGGCATTTTGAAGATGTTACTCCATACTTTGTGTATAATTTGTTATTGCTGGGGAATATCAGTGGAACACCCAATTTCAATGCGGCAACTGGGAATTTTTGGGAGTATAATCAAAAGTTGGCTTCCAGGAATATCGCTGCCATCCGGTGCATAGAAGGACAGCTTCAATTGAGTAGACCAATGCGCAGGCAAAGAGTGATCCCTAGAAACGTATTGTTATTGTTTATCTATTAATTCGTATGCAGGAAAAATGAAGACTTTAAAATTGCAACATTGAAATTTCTACGGGGTGCTATTCAGATATTTTTAAGATCCAAAGGATTACGGTAGCTGCTAAAAATTACCAAGATATGGCAACGTTGTCAGAAAAGACTCCTAAAACCTACACTAGCAAAAGCGGGTGCATATTGCCAGGCTGGGTTCATATCTGCCCAGTGGAACGCGTTGAACCAAAACATGAAAATTCCAGCAACAATGAATGCGATGACCATTAGAAGATCGTAAATGGCTTCCTAAAATCGATCATATAAATCTTCAATGGGCGCTTTTATTTCTGTAAATTCAAATCTAGAAAAACCAATGACAACTACTTACTCCCATCAACCATGCATACGCGTCAAACCGTGTGTTGAGCATTACTGTATAACAAACGAGCAAAGTGAACGCGATGAGGATACCTAGGTATGTCATTAATACTTTTTTCCTTTAATTATATTAATACCAATGGTTGTAGCCAGAAATGCCAATCCCCGTTCATCATGGTATGGCTGGGAGAGACCAACGAGTAGCATGGAGATGAAACAAATAAACTAAAATATTTTCGAATCCGATTAACGATCCGGACGTACAATTTGTATAATCTTGATGATACCTCTGGCCGAGAACTTGAATCGATGGTCAAATACCATCACTTTGTTGTTGAACTAAAAATACATTGGTATTTTTTATGCAAAACTTACAATGATCTTATCCGTATAACCGTCGGGCAAAATCGGCTCAATAATCTCGACCTCGACCTCCTCAATTTCTTCAATCTCCGGCCGCTCGTCCCGATATGCTAATCGATAATCGCCATTTCGATACATTTCCACGGAAATAGGGTAGTGAAATTTCGGATTTAGAGGATGGAGTTGTTGTTTTTTAGCGGTGGATCGTTGCGAGGGCGCCTTTGGAAAAGCTGATAGAGTGTATAAGAAGCGAGGGTCCCGATGAGAGGACCGAGAAGAGCCCACCACCGACGGTTGGTTGGTCTACTAGCCCCTGTTTGCACTGGAAGCTTCCCACCAGCCACAGCTTTTCGACGACTATCACTAGGTGAAGGGGATTACCTAGTTAACAGATGTGGGTTGTGGTCAGTTAGTGAAAAATCGATTTTCGGCGGTATTCAGGCATTATTTTCTACAAAATCTTATAAACTGGCCCACAAAAATGTTTGATCAAACTTGTTAACAAAAAGTTGTGCCATTTTTGGTAACTATTCTACATATTTATCTGTTTATAGCTTGTTCGTAAAATTTGGTACGCTTTAAGTGATATGACGGTATGACATATAAAAGCTCTGAAAGTACCATACTATTTCAATATTACAAATATCATAAAAGGTAATCCATTATTATGCGAAATTCATTTTCTTATTTCTACAAAATTATAAACGAGTTCAAAACTTTTTAACATTCACTGAAATGCGATTCAAAAGCATATTATCCTAAAGCATGAAAACCGACTAGCTTTTAGGAATTATTCTATTCATCTGCTTGTAAATTTTTTCCGAAATCAAATTCACTATAAAGTATTTAAGGCAATGTTAGGTATGCAAAAGCGCTGAGCATAATAATAGGTAGCGGGCGCCCGGAATTGGAACATGGGTAGTGCGCGGGGCATCCGGTCAGTCCATTTCGGGGATTCCAGTTCGATTACCTCGTATGACCGACTGAGCGGCTCGGCCCGACCGCATGGTATATCCCCCTCGGCTAGGTTCAAAGCTTTGCTTTATTCATCCAAAGAAAAAAAACACAATTTAAATACGGTCAGTTTAATGAGGTGTGTTTGTCGAAAAATTACGGCTGGGCAACAACATCAATCGTCCGCCCATCGGCTGTACGCCTAAAGCTAATCGTACAAGTTTTGTGAATTAGGCAAAATACTCCTTCGAAAACCGCCAGGGTTGAGTTTTTGGTTCTTCGCGATGGGTCGTGGAGATGGCTTGGGTGTGGGTGGAGTAGCTAAGTTTTTTGATCGGTACTTCCGAGGGCCAACTTACACTCCAGCACTACGTTTCCGGTTTCGTAGATAGCCAATAAGTCGGTATTCGGCCCACTGAAGGTAAATTTAAGCAGCTTAATTAGATACTTACACCAAAATAGGGTAGTTGCAGCAGAGCAATTGCTGCAACTATTGAAATGCAAATATGGACAGGTTCGTAGGTGCCTGGGGAAGCGACGGCGAGCGCGATTTCGTGGTAGATGAGGGCGGCAAGGAATAGAGCAGCTGGGATTCTACATAGGTTATTTAAACATTTATCTTTGGTTTTCGTGTGAATTTAAATCTTCATCTTACCTTATCAGAATATGCGGCAATACGAAGAACCAGCACCTCATAGCGACCCCAAAAAATACAAATAGTCCCAGCACGAACATCGTTCCCATAAGCGCTCGACTCCAATCCTTCAAAAAACATCCGACCGGCGCCAAGAATTTTTTTGTGCTTAAAATAGCTAATTTTTATTTTTAAAGCGGTCGATAAAAACCTGTTATATTCTCCCCATTCGTCGCTATTCATAATATCCAGTAGTAGATCTCCGGTGTTGTTGGTATTTGTGCCATTTATCAACATGTTGAATATCTGGCAGTACTCATCTCCCAAAGGTCCAATATCTAAAAATGTCGTATAAAAAGAATATTAAAAACTTGCAAGTAAAAGCGCTGAAGGGGAGGAAGACGAGTTCAAGGCAGAGGGCCACGATCACGATCGCCAGAACGGTATGCCCGCAAAAGCTGCAAATTGCTTCGTTGTTCTAGATTTAAATTTTTAAGCGTTGATCTAAACTTTCATCATCTATAACTCACAGCCATTTCTTCTGAATTCGATTGATCGACTCGAGCTGGAAGTGTAGATTTGGACCGGGTGAGTTTGTTTGCGTTGTTTGGCCCGATTCTGAAATTAAAATAATTTGTTGGTTTTTATAGTATTGATCTACTCTCGTTTCCGACGTATAAAATTTAAATGTCCTTTGCCTTGTGTTCCATTCTCAAATATCCTCATTAGCTCCTCGAAAAACCACTTGATAGTATTTACAGCAGCGAAGAGCCGTGAATATGAGCTATACATCCTGGGAACTTGTAAATGTGGGGCCCACAGAATTTGGTCGGAGTAGGCCTAGATGGGTTTTTACCTACCACCTAGATTTGTAGCGTGGCCCCCGAAAACCGCTAAAACTCGGCCTACTTGGACCGAAAAAAATGTAGCCATATGGGTTCTGTCCTTGTTTAAGCCCTGGTTTTTAATAAAAAGATGTAGCCAGGACAAAAATTAAAAATTAGGTCGCTACGAAATGTAAGCCAAAATTTTATTTTTGAGCCCATAAGAAGAAATAGGTTCTTGAAAAATTGAAGTACGCGAACCTGAAACAGACTATCTACGTGTTTTATTACCCTTTCAGACCACCCACCACCCCGGCAGACATACCGACTAACCCGCTTCATCCGAATAATTAAGATGGAAATGTGCTTTTTTTGTATTTCCGTTTAGGGCCAGCCAGCCCGATGCCATGAATAGCTTATCATCGTATTTTTGCAATTATTTTTTTCTACAGGCTTTATCGAGACGAAAATTCGGGCTTGTTATCGTCAGTTTGCTACGGATTTCGAATTTGTCCCCCCGCAATTTGTACAGCAAATTATTTAAATCCTATGAAAATTAGGTGGCAACCAGAGAGAAATTGTTCTTTGAATCTACCGCCCAAGGGAATCTGTAAATTCATGAAGCGAATTTCGTGACACGCGCTACTGGAGATCAAGGCAGAAATTATGCTGATTTTGTGTCGGATGTTTAATTGGTCCAGCGGGCTTCGAGGTTACTGTCATCCATAACGAAATTACTGAATCGCGTGAAAATCTAATTAACATACGAATTTCCCGCTTTATGGTTTCATTTTGAAACCTAATTTGCGAAATCGAGGTACCGATGGGCTGCCAATGATCTCAAAAACCTTGCGCAAAAAGCCGGCGCGGCGCCCAAAAATTTGTAGTTGTAGGCCCTTGTAGCATATTTCCGTAGATCTCTGCGCCTTAAAAAATTTCACCTGATTGCGGGGTGGAGTTCATTAGAATCGAGAGTTATACTTAGAGCTGAGGAAATACCAGAAGAACTCGTGTGTGTGGCAGATCGAATCTGGGCATGGGGCCCAAAGGGGGGGGCGGCTCAGCGGGCTTGCGGGGCTTCGTAGGGAGAAGTGCTGTGGAATGTGAGGTGGGGGAAAAGGAGATGAAGCCTTAGAACTTGGACATTAGGGGATTGGTATGAAGTGGCCGGGATGGATTTGGGATTATGTCGTGGAAAGGTAAAAGGGTAAAGTGAATGGTGAAAAAAGATCAGCAGAGCAAGCTGAAAACTGTTTCATGATGAACGTTAACTCATATCTGGCAAAATTCTAGCTTACATTCTTTTAGTATTTTCCCCACGCTCTTTTTTCGTCCACCGCTTCTGGGTGGGCCGTGTCGACTTTGTTTGTGCTTCGAAACCACAGCCCGGATCGGGCCTGTCATGCATCCAGCACCCGAAGATCCATGCGTTCTCCATTTAGCTCACTCCATCCGAAACGTCCTTCATTGCCCTTTGTCTCGAATCCCGAAATTAACCATCGAAAACTACATCTACTACCGGCAAACTATTTTATTCTCAAATGGATTCAGCCGGTGAAGAGGCCCTCGAAGTTGTTTCCCATATTGCGATCGGTGTCGTGCTAGTAGCATTATTTCTAGCCGTCTCATTTGTAGCCCACAGGTTTGTCGACCCGTTCAGGAGGCTATGCTTTTTAAGGTACCTCCAACGAGACTGAGCGAACGCAGAAAAGAGAAAGTTTTTGGACCTACGCCCTCGCACCCCTTACCCAACCAGCCCGAGGTATCCAAAAACGCGTTATTTTATTCAAAGCCTGAATGTTTTATCTACACCCACCCACCGCTTAAAGTGGTTTGCCCCGCTCCCGCTCATCTTCGTGAATCTATTTGTCTGTGTATTTTCGATTTCAAATGATGCTCTCGGTATGCTCTACATGTATTTCTCAGCCCATTTTACCTTTTATATTAAGCATTTAATGATAAATTATGGTTCTTAGACGGTGGCTAAAGTGTACGGTGACGTTAAAGAACTGCCTTGTACAGTTGCGAAGGGGTGGGGGGCTTGGGGAAAAGCGCCACATTCTCCCAGATTAAGGTTGGAAATCAGGGTATAATATTACGGGCTGCGGCTTCGACGATCCGATATAGTGGGCGGCCGTGCCAAGCGTCTACTAAGGGAAGTTTTGTTCCCAGAGTTTTTCAGAATTTCTCTATACGCATTGAATACATCATTTAAGGACAGTGTACTCTAACAGATGTTATTGTTTTTCAAAAGCGGAAATACTTTCCCAGAAGTTCTTATTTACGCCTAGGTTTGCCCCCAATCGGTTTACCTTAATCCTAGCTTACCTTGACATCACTCGTAAGTCTTACCGTATCCAAGGGCTATCGCCTTATGGTAATCCAGGAAGGAACATCTCGTGGCGGGCCATCCCCCATTGCCCTGAAATATAAGCCACGTCAGTCATACCCATCACAGGTCGGCGCCCTTCTAGAAGATGACCAATTCGGGTCGTTGTAAATATGGGGCATTTTCAATTTCTGCGCGTCAATTCGTTCCGTCTAGCTGGGGTGAGAAGCGGTTGACCTGTGGGGGGTATGGCCAGAGGTGGGGCTGCGTAGAAAATGAGGCGTCAATATGCGGCGGGCCCACCCCTTTAGTTGCCCTTATAAAGCAGACATAGGGTCGTCTACGGTTCGGTCTACGGTTTGTCATTTCGGCCGGTTAATTGTTTTATTGAGCTTTTGAGGTCTGTCTGTTTCCACTTGGCTTTTGCAAGGTAGATGCGTGGTTGTTGAGCATGATCGCAAATGCAACGCACGGCAGTGTCAGCTTTTCTGATATCGTATCTTCCCTAATATCAGCTCAAACCCTGGTAAAATTCTTCAAAAATGTTATATAACGGTTCAGTAATTATGAAAAACCCGCCAGATACATTGTAGTGTCATCATTAAGAGTTTTAGGAAGATTTAGGGCGCAAAAACCGATGGAATTGCTCAAAGAATGTCATGGCGTATATTCACCCTTGTATTTCTGTATTTCCCGCGATAAAAAAAAATAAAGCCACCTCTAATAAAAGCCCCCCTCTTTATTGTGTTCTAAAAATAAAAGCTTTGGGAAGCTATTAAACAAAATATTATATATAAATATATTTTCGCAGAAAACGCTGACTTCTCTGACTATACGAGACCAATCCATGTTCGTTTTCGGTTAAGCTACCGTATCCCGAAATATCCATAGCGGCAAAACAGCTTTCAGCCGCCTTACCAACCCATCTCGCTGCATTTAAGCCGATCTCGGGGGGCAATTTGTAGTCATTCCATGAGCATCAGTCTGAGTTCCATGTCTATGCAAGCAACCGTTTTAGGGTTGTATTTTCCCGGTTTTACAGAGTTTATAGTTTATAGAGGCCGTCGATGCTCTTTGGTAACTAGGATTAGAGAGAGAGTGTAGTGAAAATTTCGCCAAACGGAGCATAGCTGTTTTTCTGCTCGGAGCTATTTTAATACGCAATTTTTAATATCTACCAATAGATTTTCCAGGTAATTCCTAGCCATTCTGGTAGCAATGCAACCCACAACCATCCTCTCTTTCTCCATTTTCTTCGTTGTCGCCCTCGCCAACAGCCAGGAATCCGTAAGTTATTTTTCATCCAACCATTTACTCATTTCCATAATTGACCAACCAATCATCGAAATTTTATTGTGATGAAATAACAAAATACAGATGCCGATTAACCTTTCCATCCAAGAAATTCTTCCCTTATTGCAGGCGCGATCCACCGTCAGCTGTTGGGTATTATTAACCACCCTATCCGTTTAATCATAATTTTTAGGGGTCGGAGCCATGCAAGGTAGAGGAGTTGTAATGTGTTTTGTGTTGCATTCAGAGACAGATCTTGGATTTTGAAAAGTTTAGACGGTCTCTGATCAGCTTCCGCGATATCATGAAACGCGTGGGAGTCGGATGTACGGTGGATCGAGTCCGTTCCCTTCCTATAATCGTCAGGCGGAGCTTGTCATTCAATTACCGAAAGATTTCGACCCGAAGAAGTACAAGACAAAGCGCCATTATCTTCTCGACGAGGTCAACGGTGTTTTGTGTTTTAGTCAGGGTTTGGTGCCTATGATCTTTCAAATTTTTTTTCAAATTTAAAACACAAAATAAAAGATTGATCATAACACCAAACCCAACTTTATGTTCTCCTTATTTTTGTGGTGCCGACTACAAACCAGCCTACCCCGGCAGTCTTTGCTAATAACCCCTTCTATTTTGTGTGCAGAAGGCGTTCTCGTCCGATGTAAGCTCCAAAGTACAAAGTTTCCATGTTGTTAAGTTTTCTAGGATTTTCAACATCTATCGGTTCTTGGGTTTTTTCCTTTCTTAGATGTATCCGCACGCCTTCATTTCGTTTGGTAGTGGAATGAGAGTTTTTGGATTGTAAAGAGTGGGATATTTAAAATTTGATATACCAATTTCAGCGTGGCTCGACATTCTCGATCCCGCGCAGCTCATTGATGATCTCGGGCCGTGGGTTTGGGCCAGGATTCTTCGACGCTCCATCCAGCTACCGTTTGGTGAAACGCGGCGAGACGACCCAGGCGAGGGTGGGCGGTCATCGAGCACCCACCGAAGCTGAATTTCGAGAATACATGATCAAACTCGTGAATTCTTTACCTGACCCTTACTAACGCTGCACTTATTAATGCTTTCTGGGTGCTAGGAAGATAGTAGAGATATGCCTAATTTCTCTACTTATCGTAACTCGGGAATCCAAAACACAGTAAAACAATCATCGATTCCTTTTTCCGGGAATTCGGGGAAGACTCTGTGAACCGGAAACCTCATTAGCATGCCGGTTTTTATGCAGTTCCGTGAAGCGATAATTCAGATAATTTACAAATTTACCTCCTTACATTTACAAGTTACCAAATTTGGCATGCCAAGAAAATTATCAGATCCATTATATTATCGGATTCGTTACCACTTAAAATTTTGTATGTTTCCAAATTTTCAAATATCTTCCTAGCATCCATTTTTGCCACCACCTTAATCAGCTTGGCTATCAATTTGCATGCGCTTCTCGACCTAGCAAAAAAACACAATTTATGCAACGTAATTTGTTATAGCGCGATTTCTGGCGTACGAACGCCCCATCGCTCGAGCGCTTCATCATTCCCCGGGGTTCACTGCTGATTTCGGGCCGTGGATTTGCCCCTGGGTTTGCTGAGCAAAGCCAGGCGGAGATGCTTGTCAAGCGGGTAGGTTTTAGCAAATATCATAAATAAGAATCAGTCATAAAAAATAATTAGAATACCAATTACCGGAGAAATCCATTAATACATAATTTTAAGATAATTTGATAAATAAAAAAGAAAATTATAACTTGAAATAAAATCAATTTTAGAGCGGACAACCCGAGGAGCAATACTCATCTGAAGAGGACTACGGAGAGTTCCGCTATTAAACGATTATAAAAACATTTCCACGATCCTTATTCCTAGCCACTTTCTATGCTTTATACACCTCGGCGTTCATTGCTTCCCGTTAATAAGAATGTTAATAAAAAAATGCAGCCAACACATTTCATATTACAATATTATTTATCCCACATCCAAGCTAGACCATAGAATCGAATAACAAATACCAAATTTAGGGTACACATAACGGGTAGTGCTGGATCCGCAATGAAAAAGTTTCTGATGGATAAATTACTAAAGCAGCTGAAATGGAGTTGAAAGAAGGATGAGAATACGGCCTTTAAAATTTTAGTAAAAATATTACAACATGATTTATGCTGCATCGGACGCGCTGGAAGAGAGCGTTTTGCTAAACCCAGAAAACCCGATTTCTGTAATGCGCGAAAGCGAATAGGTGGGGGGTGATGGAAGAGAACGGGAGGGACAAGTATTCGGAAGTGCTTTTAATCACAACTTATTTTAGGGGGTGTTGATGAATACAAAATGGGTGCACGGTTGTGTATAATCACATTTAAATGCAAGAGAAAAGTCAATATCACAGAAATAGAAAGTGGATATCACGTGGGGCTTGTGACTACATGGTTAGTGTCCATTTTCGACGGGTTTCTCCTGGGTTGGGCTGGCTGGTGGTTCTGTGGTTAGTTGGGCGTCTTGTTCCGCGGCAGTTTCAGCGGCGGATTCTTCAGGGACAGGGTCTGTGGTCTTGGTTAGGGTGTGGGGGGCCTAAAGTGGTAATTAATAAGGTTTAAATTAATATACCAAAGGCGCATCCAACGAGCTGCTTGACGACTTTCGGGAGAAGTGGAAGACGGTATCCGTGGATAGGATTTGACCTTAAAAAATAATGCTTTGCCATTACAGCTTTTTCCTACCAGTCTTCAAATCAAAAGATCTTCCTTTAATGGCATGACTCTCCTTATCCAACGGCGACCACCAATTCACCAGCGATCCCATTATCGGTAGCTGACGCATCACACCCTCTTGCTGGAGCCGATTCTCATTCTCCTTCCTCAGATCCTCATTCGCGGCCTCAATTCCCTGTCGAATCAACTCAGCCAGACTATCGAGGTACTAAAGTCATCAATTTGGACACCTCAAAATGAATGATACCTGCTGGCTGTTCTCAATCTCCTTTCCCTTATCCGACACCATTTGCACGAGGTCCACCAAATCTTTGGCATCGCTGAGCATGCCGAACTTGACGCAAGATACTTGATAAGCGGCCGATTCACCAGAGGAAAACGCGGAATCGACGACACGTAGTTGATGAACAAGCTCGAGGTTAAGGTGCGAGACCTAGCAGAGTGATGGAGTAAAATTGTTTCGATCCCGACAAACCTGCTGCCGTTGCTTCTCATTCCATTCAATGGAAGGAGTATCCTTCACGATGTTTGGAATATAGCTAAAGGGATTTTGATAAGAATAGGCCTGGAGTTTCGTACCAAACAGCTCCGACACCCGCCCATTTTCTGATCGGCAAAAGCGCAAGGTGCGGGAATTGCTCCTTGATGTCGTCAAACCTAAAAAGAACCATGTAATCCACACGAATTTTCCATACTTGGCCTTAGCAGCCACAGTAGAATCGACAATCTTCAGGATCTCCCCGAGTTGCTTGATGAATTTCTGGACATGGTCGGCGTTGGAGGCAAGAGCTGAAGTTGTTTTTTTGTTTTTTTTTCATCTTTCTCTGACTAACCAGCTGAATGTTCCAGAGGGCAGAAGCGGAAGGCGGTGCCGTGGAATCCGCCCAGTTCGATCATGTAGATGCCAAGTTGCTGGCATTCCTGGAGCAGTCCTTGGCCCAGCTGAAATCGTGAGGTAGAAGAATAACAAAAGATTATGGGGTGCGGAGAAGATGATCCAAGATTAGGGAAAAAGAGATTTATTGCGATTTCAGATTTTGAAAGCTAGCTAGGATTTTGGAAAACTCAGATAAAAGATGAGTAAAGATTCTTATGGATCCACGCACCCAGCTATTCAACGAATCCGCGTATTCCAATTCTTCATCGGCGGCCCTATGCAAAGCTTGTCCTTCCGCTTCTTCCTTATCACCCTCACGGGCTCGGTACATTTCCCAAGCCTAGGAGCTTGAGTTTAGAAAGATCAAGAGCTAATTTTATACCTGTCTAGCTTGCTTCGCCTTTGGATATTTGTAGCGGAAGACGAGAACCGTCGGAGCGGTGTACTGGTTCTTGTAAACCTGGGCAGCAAACGACTGCGGGTTTTCCATGCCAATCACTTCGATTTGAGGAGTGCTGGCGAGACCTTTGAGCATCAGTTTGCTCTAAGAATTCAATATATAAAGAAGCTCATGACTATCTACCAGCATGTAGCAGTTCTCCAGGGTGTCGGTGATGCGGCGAGTGGTAAGGTATTGAGTGGCCACCCACCAAGGGAGCGTGTCAAGCTTTTCACGGTAGGTAGGTTTGTGTCCCTCCGGTTGTCGGTGAAGGGTCTGAAATCAAACTAATTGAAATATTTAAGAGGCTCACCACAACCGGAGCTGCCGGAATTCCAAGCCAAGTCGCAAGTGGCATTGTGATAGAGTCAACTTGAGAAAGCACGTGCACCAACACCTCCGAGGGCTCCTTCAAAGCCAGAGCAGCAGCCGCTTGCCCGATGACGTGAAGCCAGAATTTAGACTTTTTTCGAACCTTAAATACGGTATAAAAATTTAATGAAGAGCCAATTACCTCCAAGATCTTGCTGATCATGTCGTTTTGGCCGAGGATGGTGGACCCGACGACACCGACAAGCAACAGTGGGCGTTTTCCTTCAGCTAGGTGCTGATCAACGAGACGATCAAAAGCATGGTAGTCCTGAAATTTTTGATTATTTATTTGTTGTCTCGAGAATCTAAGTATTTTGCACGCAAAAAGGCTCACAATTCGGCCTTCGATGTCAGACATTTCGGCGGGCAACTTCTCAAGCTGTACAATATCCGAGATTCCGAATTCGGTTGTCAAGTAAGAAGCAACTTCCAAATGAAGAGCCGGTGAAAGATAGATGACTGGAGCTCCCTAAAATGCCATTTTTAGCTTTTCCCCTTTCTACACACCTGTTCGGCAAATGCCTTCCATCCACTCGTTTCATATGCCCCTCCATAGGCTTCGATGAGGGCGAGACGAACGGCTTGCCCTAAAGGGAGGGGATGCTGGGTGGGAAGCCATGTGTTACCAATTCCGTGTCGGACGGATTGATGGATGTTTCCCTCTTGCGGCGAACAATAGACGGCCGAATCGGCAAAGCGGAATTGCTGCGTGAACGCGCTGAACAAATAATTTAGTGTTGGGTTTGGAAAGGGGAGGTGGAAGTGGGAAGTAGATTTTGGGTTGGTTCGTAAAAGTTACCTGCAGGTGTTACCATAAAGCCATGCGGCAATACTTTGGCGGTGGTGGTTACCGAGAAGGTCGATGTACGCCTGAAAGGGTACGATATTTAATTAAAAACTATTCTAATCACTTACCTTCAATGAAGCGGACGTGACCAACGTTCTTCCCAACTCGCTCAACTTCTGCCCCTCCCTTGATCGTACCCGCGAAACCGGCGTATGCCCCGAACTTGTTGAACCGTCCCTATCCACCCATTCATCGCTAACTATAATGCATTTATCGCTTTATTAGTATACTTAAACCCAATACCAATCATTTGCTCCAACTGCTCCAATACCGGTGATACAGACCCGACAGACCCTCGCGAGCTTCGCTGCTCAACCAGCGGTCTTGGCTTAACCTAAACAATCTTTTCTGACATTTTATAACGGCCGACCTGCGCATTATTATTCTCCTCCTGGCACCCGCTATCCTTCGAGCTGTTCGTCGAGGCCGGCGATGGCTGCGAGGACTCAATTTTGCTGAAAAAAACTGGTTAATGGAGCCAAATTCGATGCAATAAAGTCACAAGATAAGGCTTGTGGCTCTATTTCCGACCTCCATTACCCGGTGGGGGGCCCAATTTCCCGGTCGGATATCTGGCGGGTGGGGCCCGAAATGTCTATGTTTGTGTGGATTTTGGGAATGCATGGGTGGGGGGGGGTCGGTGGGGGGTATGGTGGGTCATAAAACTCTAACAGCCACATGGGGTGCGTTAGTATACTTAATTTGACAGAGTGGTTGAAAAAAATAGATGGAATGAACGATTTGGAGTCTATATTTTTCCGAAGAAAATCTTATATGAATTGTTGACACTGTCCAAAGCCAGTTTTAGAGACTTTAAAGGGGCAATGACACACAATGAATGAATTAAGTAGGAAACTGATCTTCAAGCAGGTATTTTGAGTCCATATCCAGAAATACCACCGTATATTAACTATTTAAGGTGTATGAAGCATATAATATCGCTGGGAAAGCTGTTTAATGGTATTAAAGGGACAGTGACACGTCTGGAACTCAAAGGAAACGACGCAGAAAAATATTCAATACGCGATTTCGACTATAGCTGCTAAAAAGTTGTGTACGAAATATCGAAGTTGTGCAAAGTCTCGATTAACGCCAAAACAAAAAGATCCAGCAATAGCAATAGCAATAACTCAAGAATAATCAAATTTATAAAATGATCGTAATAAGAAAAGCCAGATTTATCCCAAAAACCAGGCAGAACTCCTGGTTTTTTTATTTTTATCGATTAATATTTCATACCCCATTTCCATAACCCTAAATCTGAAAAACGGGTCACCTCAAACCCCGAAACCACCCCAGCAAACGGACCACGAGGTGGATTTATGAATGTTGTGTGTGTATGGGGGTAAGAGGCCAAAGAGTGTGTCCAACGGGACCCTAGTTCTTCGTAAATCAACGGTTGAGGGCGGCATAGAAGGCGAAGGAGGGGACAAGTATCCCCCAGGGGATCCCCACATCCCTTCCAAACGACCGTCCATATCTCTGGAGCACGAGCCCCCGACAACAGAAACCGCAAAAGGATATCGGTTGACATCTTTTGAGAAGGAGAGGTTTTGCTGTCCAGGTTTTGGGAACTTTTGGTTAGCGATGTTCGTTGGGAGTATGGGGGATTAAAGATTGGGCGGTTGAGGGATGGGCTGAGGGTTAGGTGGAGGATGAGTATGTAAAGGTAAGGCATGTTATAGAAATGCTATGAAGAGATTATCCAAGCAATACCTTTAGAAATTTTGAATAATTTTCCAGCGGAAAACAAAAAAAGAGATATAAACTAGGCAGCTTTTCAATCAATTTAAAAGACGGCTTAGGATCATGAATTTGGAAAAATTTTTGATTTGGGAAAGATGATGAAAGATGATGCTTATGCTCATTTAAGAAAGATGCCACCGCTACAACCAATTTCCGCTTATTTCCTATCCAAAAAACAATCAAAAACTTTACAAGGTAGCACCTAACTAAAATTCCATTTCAAGAAATCCACGGAATCCATCCCGAACAATAAATTCCATTCCTCTCACTTCAGAACCATTTCATTTGCACAACTGTGACAACACCTCGTTCAAATTGTGGAGGTTATACCCAACCGACAGCTTCATAGTCTATCGATGAGAATACCCACGTGATTCTATTCTTCTGCAGATTGAGATGCTGCGTGGAGCAGAGGAGCTGGGCCCTTCCCCGGGACATCAGGTCATCTCGGGGCTGCTGCCCTTGACCCCTTATGCCGAAAAACCCAGGAAGTATGCGAATGTGTGCTGTAAAAGAGTCTCGAGGGGCGGATAAATTGCGACATTATGAATTCACCGGGAATTGTTGCGGAAACGTGGAATGGAATGGCAAAACATCGAAACTTAAGAGAGGAGTTCGGGCTTGATGTAGCGTGAAATTGGGAGGAAGAACGAAAAATGTTGTGCATAGTGAGCGTTTAATTCTATTTTTGCTCTGATAATGCACTTGTAGCCACCTAGTTTCCAGAAAAAGCAACACTGTGAAAAGATTTTGTGAGGAAAATTAAGGCAGAAAAATTAACCTACTTATGTCGCCAGTGACTCTCGAATCTAAGAAATAGCGAAAGACGTCAAACTGAGCGCTTAGACATGAAAAATTGGCTTCAGCAGAAAAATTAATCAATGTCCCTAGCTGACGCACCCAGATAAAATATTGGACCCAAAGAACAATAGACACTTGTTTGTCAAAGTGGTAGCTGAAGAGGTAGAGCCGAATAGAGCATCGAATGGGCGGACATGGTGCGTCTCCCCGCCTGCGAAGTGTATTCGCGAATGTGCGCGGTGGGCCGAAGAAAGACTTGCCGAGAAGTGCCGGCCGGGTCAAAGGGGAGAATCAGCGGAAAGGAGCGAGAAGAAGCCGCCGATGTCTCGACTCCCCCCGAAATGCGATTCGAGCCCCACCCTGGTTCGCTCTAATTCGAAGGCTGACAGACGAACACCAAGAATTATGGCCCAGCAGCGGCAACCCGATGGGCGCCAATTTTGCAGCAGACAATTGACACCGGCATTCCGGGGAGCGGGGAAATGCCGTAGATTAGCGGTTGGCGTTTCTTGCGCGAGGGCCACTTCATTAGCTAGGAAAAGAGGGTAGAGCCTCAAGGGCTGCTAGGAGAAAATCAAAGTCAGAGACCCCTGAAAAAGGAGGTGTTCCCTTGACCTTTTGCAAAATTTAACTAAATTTTCTGCCTTTGTGCATATAATACAGATCCGAAGTCGCCGAAGAAAATAAAGATACAAACCCACAAAACCCTCGTAGCCACACAGGCGCACACAAAAATACAGAGCACGACCAGGATTCAATTAAGGAAATGGGCGGGAGGAAGCCATGGGGCGGGTCGCTTAAAAAATGGCATTGCTAAATTGGCTGGGTGGGCTTCTCAAGGAAATTAGGAGGTAGAAGAGTCCGGTGGGTCGCGGGGGAGGAGAAGGGCTTCGGGTTCGAAGACCCGTGGCAGGGGGAGGATGAGTAGTCAGAAGAGCATTGGGTTGAAATGGGGTTGGGGTAATGAGTCGGCAAAAGTAGGGTTTCCGGAAGCCATGGATTTCGGTATGTTGGGTATTTATTTAAATAGATTATTTAGATAGATGATGGGATGAGAATTTCGTTACGAAAAGATGCTTTAAAGCGCATACTACAATTGGATGTATACAGCTATGCACGCTTGCCTATCTCTACGTAAATAGGCGCATGCGTACTCTTGACCTGAACACGCGCTTTAGAGTGACTTGTAAGCCATAAAAGAAAATAGCGTTTATTTTATAATTTGAGTTTTGGGTTTATTTCAGGGACTTTCGTAGGCAAAAACGTGCCCCAACCTGACTTTAATGCTAAAGATACAGTAACGAAAGGTGTACCATTCCAACATAAAAGTACAGCTCAGAAAAAATTCGAAACGAGTATGGAGGGCTGTTCAGCCAGAGGAGGACGAACGCGAAGAATCTCCCATAGCGGCCGCGGTGGGCAAACACGGGCCCGACGACGAATAGAGGGCCCGAATAGAAGCATTGCCCCGTCCACACATAGCCCGCCGTCCAGCCGATGGCTCTGCCCTGCCTGCCCTGACCCATTGCCCCGGAATGGGGCGGACTATTCGATGACATCTGAGACCCAGAAGCAACCACCACCACCCTCTACCCTGTTCTTCATCATTCATGCATCAAAACACTACGTGGTGCTTTGGTGGTGAGATTGGTGGATTCGAGGGGTTTGGATTCTGGACGGACGAGAAGGTCTAGAACCGGGGGCAAATTTTGGGTGATTCTCCTAGCATTTTCCTAGTTTTTTGCAAATCTATATATCTCGGTCAAAATGCAGTCCCCTCACTTTCATACCGAACATCCATAAACCCCATTGCCCTATTCTCACCCACCTCCCCCTCACAGCTGTGCGTTGTGCTCCAGGGCAGTTTTTAGCTAGCACGAAGGAGCCGGGAAGACACCCCCCCCCCGTTTTCCAGCTTGACCATCTCGCGCCAGGATCTCGGCTCGTATCTACACCCCCCCAGCCACTAGTCGTTGGGCCGGTTTCACATACCCTCCTTTCACCCCTTCTCTCCCATTGCCCCCGGGGCAAAAAGATCCGAAAAATCCACAAAAACAGCCTTATCTCCATCCGGGTTGGATCGGAAAAATCGGAGGGGTAGGATGCACCTGTTTTACGGCATATCGAAATAAGGAGCTCACCTGGAGACGCTGTTGATGAAGCTCTCGGCAGCTTGGACGGCAGCTACTACGTCGCTGGCCATTTCACTACCTGGAAAATGGAAAATGGATGCTTATTGAACAAATTGAAAACAATGAGCGACAGAGAAGAAGTAAAGAAAAATACCGGATTTCCTTTAATGTAAAATCAGGGCTTCCGGTTTTTTACCATCTTGAAGAGAAGCTTTATTAGAGGAAGAGGGTTACAAAGGAGGGTCGAGGCTATCAAATCAAAAATGCCAAAAATCGAGGAAAAATGAGCGGATTTTACCGTTTTTCACAGAACTAATCCGTCTAGAATTCCGAATAATATCCATACAAGGATAGAGTTAACTCTTTTGGCGGTTTTAATGATGCAAAAGGAAATACGGTAAAAATATAAATGATCTTCTATAGCCAACCAGCCACCAAATGCCGATCTCGATGGCCAGGTCTACGCCCCGCTGCAAAGCAGAATCTTAATGAAGCCACGACGATACCGTATTTCCTCTCGAACAGACAGAGCAAATCGCTGAATGCAAGCTGGGCTGACCGGCTGATCGATTCGAGCCCGTCCCCCCGGATATTCAACACGAAACGTGGCACCCCCGCAGCCCCCCCCCCCCCTTCAACGAACGCAGAAAATGGACAGAGCGGGGCACCAAAAAATAAATATTGCGCATATGGGGGCTAGCTGGAGAAAGGGGGGAAAGCCCGGGTTTTGTACGGCTGGCTGAGCAATTATTCGGATGCGGCGAAGAATGATTATTGTCTACGAGGGTGGGGGCAAGAGTAGGTTGCCGGAGCTGTGCCAAGTTATTGGCAACCGGTTTTTAGGGGGCAAAGATGCATCGGATGAAGCCATAGGGTTTGTGGGTATTACTATTATTGACAGGCACTTTGTTTGGGAAATTGGATGTTTTTGGTAAATTTTTAGCTGTTCTATTAAAGGAAATTTTAAGGTAGGGCTTCCACTATATATAAGAAAAATTTGTACAATACTAACCATTAGCATCGATCTTCATGGCTGAAATATATCTGCCGGGCATTTCGACACAGCGTTTTAGCACTAATTTGTTCTTTTCCGTTAAACCATTCCGATATTGTACAAAAATATTGTATGAAAAAAATTCGCTTTTTCGAGAGCTACAATAAAAGCTATTTAGTTTCCAAAAATTCGTCTCTATCGAAAAAACTATAAAATCTCGTTGCAAAATATTATAACCAGCGCTGTATTTCGTAATCTAGACACCAGCCAGCTGTCAACTATTGTCCGGCTTCTATCCAGAATGGCCGCTTCAGACATAAGCCGATAATTGGGAAAAGCCCCTAAAAGAAAAGTCGTCCCAGATGATGTTCGCAAGACCCCCGTCCGTCCATCCCCACAGCAACAGTATCCAAAATGCATACCAACGCCCGGACGGGCCCCTGCACGCCAAATGGCCCCAGAAAAAAACCTAAAAGGAAATGCCACTAGAAACGCGTAAAAACTGCCCAACAAAACTAATTGTTTATGCTTGAAAATGCATACTCCCATTTTTTGCAGAATTTGGAAGCGCTCCCAACTACCCTAACCATCGCGTAGGTGGCAATTAAGCAAAGAACTATCCAAAAAAAATAATTCGAGCCCAAAACACGCAGCCCCAAAAAAAAGACCCGCCAATTATTCTAATCGACGTATCTGGGCGGTCATTGCTTTGAGGTTCGGCCACTCCTTATCAGCTCGCATCCAAGACTGACAGCTTTGCAGGCGAGGGCATACAGAAAAATGGCAGAAACTAATAGTACTTGCACTAGGAAACGCCCTTTTTTCGGATTGTTGAAGTCGATTAGCAAAAAGCTGGGAAATCATTTGGAGGAGGGGTCCCAGGGGCCGACGGAAACTTCAAAAAGGGCGAAACAAGATTGATGCTCAAGCATTTCCTGCTGAGAGGGAGTGCACGGAGGGTCCAGAGTAAACAAAAAAGTAAATTTGATAAACGGAGTTCGCGTTGGGGCGGGGTTTTTGGAGGGAGGTTTTGATTAAGGATGTGAATTGTTGGGATGTTTTGGATGTTTTTCCAGGGAAAAAGGGAGGCTGGCCGGCTGGAGGAAAAGAAAAACAAAGGCTCATTGCGTGGAAGGAAGAAGGGGAAAGAAAAATAGGTATAAGAGGTTGAAAGGGAGCGGAACGGAAGAGAATGGAAGGCCTTTTTGTTGCTATTTATCGGGGCGCGGACATTTGTTGAGGGTTGAATCCGGAGGAGTTGTGAGGTGTCGGCGGTGGAGTGAGTGTGTGTGGTGGGATTGCGCCGAAAAGAGGGTCGATAGGTCACTCCGATTTGACCTGGCCGTCGCACACGTGCTCTACTTCTCTACTTTTTTAGGTGTTCCGCCCGAGTGGTCGAATTTCGCGAGTTACCAGGTGGTTTTTGAAATTTTTTTATTTTGGGAATCATGGTTTGAATGGAAGCAAGCATCAGGATAAGAACAACTATCGCTTTTCTGTTGTATGGCTGGGAAAGGAATGATTTATGGGTGGGCTAGTCGGTGGGCTGCAACATTTCAAGAAATTCCGAAAGGATTGGGGGAAAATCGGTGGAAACGACAAAGTGATTTAAAGGCGGTAGTAAAGCCGAGAAACACGGATTTTAACTAGGCGGCGAGGGAGAGACGGAGAGACGTGTATAGAGAGAGAGAGAGAAAGAGAGAGAGAAAGAGAGAGAGAGAGAGAGAGAGAGAGAGAGAGAGCAAGAGAGTGAGAGATGGAGATAGAGCTATCAATAGATATAGCGAGCATGAATGATCAGGATCTTTCAAAAAAAAAAATAAAACAAAAAAACTAAGGATTTATCTGCGTTACAAAACGCTTTAAAATAACTATTTAGCGCCCCGTAAACAAATTCCAACCACCCTACACAACCTAATCCTATCCTCCTCCTCCCCAACCCCGAGCAGTCATGTTTTCCGGTAGAATACTGAAAACCTGTTGACAGCCCCCCTTCGCGCGCCACATAAATAAGCCCATGAACTATGAGGCATTCACGCAAAAGGGCCAATATAGAACAAAGGCCATTTCGTAACAGAAAGAACATTTGGCAAGCCACGGGGCCCGCTTTTGCATTTGAACGGCCAGTGGGTCGGGTTTCGACCAAATTGGCTGACTTTAGTCGACTCGAGGGGGGCGCCCGATTTAATTACTAGACACGTGGTGTCGTGCCGGGAAATTAAACCATTAAATAGGTTGTAGAGAATGGGTTACATGATATGAGAAACGTTAATTTTAAATACACCTTGAGGAATAGTTCTACTAGCTCATATTATATCATAAATAGAAGGATGCCCGGAAATTGTATTATCTATCAGTTAGAAAGTTTTGGAATGTCTGATTATATGAAAATAGAATTCAGATTTAAATAAAATGTTAATAAAACATAACAATAGGGCATTATAACGCATTAATGAAAGGATACTCTCATAGATTTCAAGAATATAGCAATCATCTACAGTCCGAAAGTTTTGCCAAAAAACTAAGGATCTCGATCGAGGTACAAACTCTCAAGTAGCCGTTCCCCCATTCCAAAGGATATTTTCGGAAGCCCCGCAACGGGAAAAGCTTGAAAGCCTGAACACGTCAAGGGAGGTGTGCAACGTGGAAAGGGGGAGGACAGTTTTCCCCCCTACCACCCGGCTCTTCCTTCTTCTCTTCTCACTTCTCCGCCCCATTCCACATCCCTAAACCCTCCACTTCTGAACGCTCCCTCCCCTTCCCCCACCCGGTCAACCATTCCTCTTCTAGACCTCCGCTCCTCACTACCCCCTTCCTTTTCTATTTATTCTCCCCCTTCCATTCGCTATTCGTATCGAGAAGCCGTTGTGTTGAGCAGGATTGATCGACTGCGTTGCTCAATACGTGGCCATGTCCCTCCCCTCGTCCTCGTATGGCCGTTTGCAAACTGGTCAATTATCCGGTCGGGCGAGAGGATGACCTGGATTCTTGAAACCAATTTTTCGCCGGTCTTTCGATGGGCAAGGCTCGCGAACTCGGTTACCTGTAACGTTAAATTTGGGCTTTTATTAGGTGATTGTGGGCAGGGGCATAGCTAGAAACAATTTCGAGGGACCCCCGAAAAATTTTTAGCACAAAATTGATGCATTAACGAAAAAAACAGCGCCACAGGCGAAATATTTTGGAAAATAGGTTACGCAGCATTAAAGCATTTCACCGCATTCACGGTGAAAAGCTTATGTAGCAAAAACAGATTGCACATTTTTTGCTAGGCGCAATTTTGGAAAAATCTGTAGGCTTAAGTACTATTAAATCTGTTTTATTAAGCAAAAAATTCTAAGGGGATATATTAGAGGAAATACGGTACTCGATCTTTCGAAAAACGGTTTCCGATAATCGTCGCCAATCATCATACATACGAATCCGCTAATAAGGACAGATACAATAAAAGCAAACCATAAAATAGGATGCACAAAAACCTTTATTTGCATCGAGTCTGATCATAAACATATATAGACTTTCTTATTCGCATTTCTAGACGTTCCAGTGGAAAGTTCCGAGGGCGGCCACGGGGGTTCCTGGAAGACGGCTGTCAGTCTTCTCATCAGCGTCCTTTTCCGCTTTCTTGTCATCCTCCTTCTTCTCCTTGCCCTTGACGTCCTCGGTCAACTTCAGACGGCTGATCGTTGCCATCTGAAACGATCCAACCATGAATTTTTTGACTTTGGCTTGCGTTGGTCCAATTTCTTTCTGAAACGGACAGGAATGTATACGGCTATGAATTTTGCTGGTTCTGGATTCTATCTGGAGGGAGCGACAGAAAATTCGGGCGCTCAGAAGGCGACGTAAGTCATTACGTAATTGAAAGTAGGATCCGTAGACATTTCTTGCCCCTCCCTCGAACTACGAGATATACGAAGCTTGAGGCCCCTCAGACGCAACATGGATTCTAGGGTGGAAAAAATGAGGATTTATAAGACAATGAAAATAAATGTGGTACCCCCGAACGAACAGGCGTGGAGGTGGTGGTGTAGATGGGCAATGGTTCGCCGCCGAGGGAATCCTGGAACCGTTTTTTGAAATTATTGTATTGATTCTGAAATTTTTGATTTTCTATGAAGCAAAATTATGGTTGTTCATAACCCAAATTTCGAAAGACCTGGGGAAGTCAGCATGCTAGCGAAAAAAGATCAATGACCAGCTGAATGCATATTGCTTCAATCTTTTCGTGAACTTCCGCGGGTCCAAAAATCATAATTGGTTTACCAGTTCCAAAGATATCGCAAAAGAGTTTGTATAAGCGCTTTTAAATAATTAAAATAAATAAATACAGTAAATCAGAAGCGACCCGCCTTGCAGACGGAAGTCTTGACGACCGGAGACACCGGCCAGATGGGCAGCTGACGACCGGACATGGGGAGTTTGATGTTGGAAATGACGGGCTTCATTCAGATTTCGCATTTCCGGAAGCCCGGAAATCCAAACATTCAAATCGATTTTCTCTATTCAGGTCACAGGAGCCAGCAATTTTCGGCGGCGACTCCAATTAAAGCTAGTTTCCGGCAGAGCCTTTCCGATTTATAACAAAATTTTATGACACATCCAGCGTCGAACCGAATTCGTAGATCATAGAAAACCACGTCGATAGTATAACATGGCACGCCTGACTGCACATAAAATGACGGTTTACAGAAAGCATTTTTCATCTTTACTTTTGTAATGGTTCGGTTTTTGTTTTACTGCCGTTCCATCTTCATTTTTCCTTTTTCGTAGCAATCAAATTCTGGGATCGGTCGGCATCAATACTCATGCGCAACAAAATTTCTTGGCGGCTAGCCGATACGCGCTCTTTTAGTGGCGTTCTCGCCACCATCTTCCGATCAAGACTCTTCCGGGATATGATTTTTCTCCTCCAGAATCACTCCATCTTACGGTCGTTACCGACACCTGATTTTTTTGCTTCAGTTTCATTTCCATCGAACCATAACTAATCCTACCTTATATAACTTTGGCGTGTAACTGTGTGTGTGTGTGGATGTCACTTTCCGATTTGAGGGCCTTCCCGTGCATAAAATGTCCTAATTCTTCGACACTTGGGGGAATGGGGGGGGGGGAAACACTTGGGGGAAATCCCAATAAATTTGATTCAGATTTGCGATGTCTTGTGAGCAATGCCGCCAAGTATCAGTACGGATTCGAAGTCAACCGAAGGCCGCAAAGGCCTCGATTCCGTCGACTCTAGAACTCGCCCATATGGTTAACCTGGGCTACTACCTAGAGAAAAAACATCAATGTGTACACGCTATTCCTGAAAGCCGCGGTGCCGTCATTAAGGTCCTGGACATGGTCCGATTCATCGATGATCGTCTCTGGAAGGTAGTCAGCAGAAGTGATTACGATGGTAAGCACAGTAACAAGTTATTGAACGGAACTCTTAGGCTTTAACTGTACAACTTTTATCAAAGAGCCAGGACGACAACTTGTGATCGTGCATCGTGAAGCGGTTAGGATCGGTGCAACAGACAAAATCACTCAAGGAATTGTGGCAGCGGCTGATTGGCATACACATCAATCAATACTCAACCATACGATGAAGTTAGACAACGGACGTTTTGTTGCGAAGTCGAACTACCGAGTGACTGTCACCGGTCACGGCATTGAAGGGTGGATGGCTCAACTATCCACATTTCTACGCCGACATCCAGCTCATTTTCCTGTGGGCCCACGCGGAACTTACTCATTTGGAAATGGAACCAGTATCGATCTGAACCAGGAGTGCAATATGCACTGTGTCGCATTCGATTCGCCAGGAATCGACGCTATTTTGATGCGCCTGAGGGATGAGCCGGGATGGTTGAATGGTAGTGCGCCAGATGTGGTCGTGGAACTGGAGGAGCTTGATATCACGCGCTATGTTACACATCCAAAACATGACGACACCAATGATACGCATACCGGATGTGTGAAGAAAATCGACGTCATCATGGATGCTACCTGCGGGGAGCGAAACATCAGCATGGCTGGCTCTCCTAGCATGGGTGCTATTTTGCAATATTTCCAGCAAAATCCAACTGCCTAGTTAACTCATCACTAAACACCTCTCAAGCAACTTGCCTTTCCAAAATATAAATAAGTTGCTTATCGGTTGTATGTTTTTGTTGCTGGGCGCATTCAAATAAATTTTACGTAAAGGAATGAATTACCGGGAACACCTTAAAAATCGTGATACCAAGCGCACACAATGCGCTTTTGATTTTCACATACTTAATCATTGGTTCCTCGTATAATAAACCACGATAAAGCGCTTACAGCAAGAATGACCGGCTTGTTTTTCAGCCAACGGCCGACTTAGGATCAGCTAGTACACTTTCTTGGCTGTTGTGCTTTTTGCTTGCGGCCCCTCCCTCGGCCCGATCAATTCGTAATCAGTGTGAAAATTTTGTGAGCTTGCCATTCGGCATCTCGCGTTGTTTACACCGGAGAACGCTTGCTTATTGCTTATTCCTCACAGATTTCTAACACGCTAAAATTAAGGTGGGTCTTTTACGCAATAACCCATCCAGATTTTAAAAAAGCAATAACTGAGCAAGAAGTCTAATGATACTATTACAGACCGGAAATGTCCTGTGTGCAATGTGGCCAAGTATCCGTGCAGATTCGAAGGAAACAGAAAACCACCACGGCCATGATTCCCACAACCCTTGAACTTGCCCATATGGTTAATCTCGAATATTATCTCGAGAAAAAACACGATTGTGTACACGATATTCCTGAAAGCAACGGTGCCATTATCAAGGTCGGGGAGATGGTCCGTTTTCTGGATGACCGGCTCTGGAAGGTAGTCAGCAGGACAGATTATGAGGGTAGGCTAAATAAATCAACTCTCTATGCTTTTAATAATTAGGCTTTAACTGCACAACATTCGTCAATCGACCTGGGCGGCAGATAGTGATCGTTCATCGCGGAACACTTCTAACGAACTGGAAGCAACTAGTTGCGGACGCGCGTATTGCGCTGAATAGAATTACTCGAGAAATCGTGGCCTCTGCTGATTGGCACACACAGCAACCGATACTGAACCATGCAATGAAGTCGGAGAATGGGCGTTTTATTCCGAGGCCCAACTACACAGTGACAGTCACGGGCCACAGTCTCGGAGGATGGTTGGCTCAACTCTCCACGTTGCTACGTCGGCATCCGGCATATTTCCCGGTCGGGCCACGCGGAACTTACTCATTTGGAAATGGAATGAGCATAGATATGAACCAGGAATTCAACATGCACTGCGTTGCATTCGATTCACCCGGCGCGATGGCCATTTTGGAGCGACTTGAGAAGGAACCGGGCTGGCTTAATGGTGGTCCAAGAGACGTGGCTATTGAGCTCGAGAAGCTTGATATCACGGTCTATGTTGCGAATCCGAACCTGATCAACAAGTGTGGAAAACACACTAGGTGTGTCAAGACGATCGACGTTATGTCGGAGGCTTCCTGGTGGAATCGTTGGCTCAATCCTGTTGCATCACACAGTATGGATGGTATTCTGAAGTACTTCCAGCAGAATCCGACTAAATAAATCATCTCATTCAAAGTTTCATTGGGATGTATGAGATTCTAACTAAAACGTCAGGAAAATTTATCGCATAAAATCCGCTAATAAATTGGCAAAAACCACAAAAAATATTGCAATAAAGGTCAGTCGGAAAACAATACACGTGTTCTTGGCTTATGCATTCTACGCACTCACAGCAACAATAGCTAGATGTCGAGGCGCGAAAGCCGGGCGCGGTGAGTCAATCGTAAAAGCGAGGCGGAGATCTTTAATTGCCACTAAATTGTATGAGAAGTGAATAACCGGGGGCAATGCGATGAGATTATTTGGTGCGTGTGTGGGGAAAGAAGTCCAGCATGGCAGTGATGGACTTTTGGCATTGGAATAAATAGGGAGGGCAGGAAGGGGTGGGGAAAGGGATAGTGATAGTGGCTAGATTATGATAAAGGCATTTAGTTCCTAGTTTTGATGTTATTCTTCAGGGTTGTGAGGTTGGTGATGATGGTGATGCCGACGATGCCGATGCCGCCTTCGCATATTCAAGGCTTGAGTTTGTTCTTCGATCCAAGGGATTAGCCATTTGGCTTGGATCATGCTGTCGTATTCGATATACTGAAAAACATAATTATTCTGTTTTAATTAAGCATACACGTTATCAAGGGCTTTTTTACCGAAGAAACTCACATTATCAGCGTTGTGGATCTCCGGTGCAAATAACCGCACGGTAGGAATGTATCGTGCGTACAGCTCATGTGGCACTGGGGCATGCTCGAAGTTCTTCACATTAAAAGCAGCCAACTAAATGATTTTGTAATAACAGAAAGACAAGGATTACCGAAACCCGACGTCCCGTCACTTGAGACATCTGAGCAGCAACATTCGGGAATTCAGCAATCGCTCGTCTAGAGTGAGCACACCACGGGGCATAGATCAACACCACCCAGGTTTCACCGCGCATCACCTGAAAGTTCATAATAATGTGAGAACTAAAAGCATATGGGGCATTCAGGTAGGTTTGAGGTGCTTACCGCTTCCTTCAACTCATCAGTTCGCACCATGTTGTAATAGGTAAGTGGCTGATCAATAGAATTGCTAAGAATTGGTGGCCGCCACGGATGCGTGAGATGCGGCGGGTGTTTTCTATGGTGGTCGTGTATATGACTAGGTGGGTAGTGCTCGTCTTTGTCAAATGGATGATGAATTGGCTAAAAATAGACTTTAGTCATTTTTGCTTCTTGCTGCCTACCTTTTGGGTCCAGTACCTAGGGTCGGTGAACCTTGGCGCAGGCGTTCTGAAAAAGAATAAGATCAAATGTTAATTATCTTACGTTGTTGTTGTCCTTGCTCTTATCCTTTCCGCGTCAACACGTCGCTGTCTAAAAATGAGTTTATGGTCAAACCTTGATAGCTTACCTCTCCCGCTCCGCCTCTTCTCTCCTCAACTGTTCTGCCCTTTTCTGTTCAGCTAACCGTTGCCTTTCTCTATCTTGCCTCCATTGGTCGTTCCTCCTCTTCTCTTCAGCAATCCTTCGCGCATCTTCTTCCGCAACTTTCCTTCGTTCAGCCTCTAACCGATCATCTTCAGCCTTCTTCCTCCTGGCTTCTGATCTCCTCCTTTCCTCATCTTCTTTTCTCCTCAACATAGCTCTTCTATCGTCCTCTAACCTCCTCTCATTAGCTTCCTTTCTTCTAGCAGCTTCTTTCCGATCTTCTTCATCTTTCTGACGAGCTGCTTCTAATCTCTCGTTTTCTCTTCTTCTATCCTCCGCTTGCTGGCGAATACGATCAAGCTCCTTTTGCTCATCTGCTCGTCGACGATCAGCAGCCTTCCTGTCATCAGCACGACGGCGCTCATCTTCTTCCATTTGTTTCCGAGCCGCTATTCTACGCTCTGTCTCTTTCTTCTTCTCATCTTCCTCAATCTGTTTCCTTACAGCTGCTTTTCGTTTTTCCTCTGCCTTTTGCCGAGCGGCTTCACGGACGCTCTCTACGGCTTTTTTTTGTTCCTGCTCCAGAAGCCAACGATCTGCTTCTTTTCTTTCGTCTTCCAAACGGCGAGCTTCAACTCGGTTCTCATCATCAGTCACTGCCGGTTTCTTTCGGTGAGCGAGCTTTTCCCTCTTCTTTTCTTCTCTTATCCGAAGCTTCTCCTTCCTAAATTTTCGGTTCTAGCTTTAGTGTGGTCATCCTACTTTCTCTCCTTGAGTTCCTTCCAGTCGCGGAGGTCTTTTTCACGTCTAAAATTTGTAATTTTTCTCGGTCCTTGGTCTTACTGTCTAGCTAGGACATCTTTGGCCAATGATTCTTGTTGTTTATGCTTCTTCTCAGCTTCAACCCGTTCTTTCTCGGCCCTGAATTCAGTATAGATGATGAAATCTTTCATTACTTGTAGTGCGGCTCGCGTCTCTTCTCAGAATTGATTATTTCATTGTCAATTCTGCGCGGTTGATCCCATTGCGAGTCGGCGGAACCAATTCTATATAACGTATATAACGTTAGGATTGTTATCACCTGTTTGTCTCCAAATAATCTTGTTCGACCTGGGCCTGCACTTTGAAGACTTCGGCCTTGCGAAAACCGGCACTCTAAAAGGCAGTTATTGGCATCAAAAAACTATATATCTGTTGAAGCTAAGCGCATGCAAAATAAAATATGGCTCGCTTTAGTGACAACGGCAAAATACAACATCTATCTTACCGTAGTTGTCTTTTTTGGGGGCTAAAAATTTGGCGTTCTTTTTTGTGACTACTACTTACTCTTCTCCGCGTCTCCGCATAGACGCGATTCTGACGTTCCCTCCTCATCTGCTCAAAGCGTTCGAGATATTCTTGATATCTCTCGTCGGGTTTCCGTTGTGATTCGGAGCTATTTGTTGATGGTTGATGTGCATAGCGATAGGGATCTTCTGGTCGTTCTGTGCTCCTGGAAAATGTTTTGATTTAGGCGGCTTGACTGGGGTGGATGGGGGGCTATATCTGATATGGATGATGGGAGGCAGACAAAATATTCCATTTCGGTCTGGATAGGGAGAAGGATGAACCTTGATCGCTTAGTGAAGATAGAGAGATATTGATAATACATCTATTAATGCATACCTATGACGAGCATGATGCGGCTGATGCTGATTATGATGGCCCCTTCGTCCTTGCTGCTGCCGAAATTCGCGTAGCTGGTTCCGGTAGGCTTCTTCTTTTGCCCTCTGATCACTTGCTGGAGTTGCCCAAATTGTAGCGAGGCAAAAAATTAACTAAAGAAGGCTTTTCATGGCTTGTTTCGATGTTGCTGAGTCATCGACTAAATGTGGGTACCCCGAGTAGCGAGCATCAAAATACTTACTGCTATCAGCCAGGCCCATTGTTGTACTTCCCTCATTCCAGGTATCCACACGGCTCTGAAAAAGGCGTCTAGTCAGGAGATAAGAAAGTGGGAAACAGGGAGATTACGATTTAAGGTTTCGAACTCTGGGATTGAATTCGGAAAGTGAATTTGCAGAGTGCGGGGGGTCAGGGGTCATTGTTTACAAACTGATACGACGGCAAAAAGGGGACGGCGCTAGCTAGGGGAACGGTTTTTCGTGGAAAAGTTATCAACTCTCTTTAGAATCGCTGACAGCACCTGAACGAAGTATATAAAGTCAAAAATACATTTTTTTAAAGGAAAAAAGAGCAGCATGAGCTTATGAGGGGGTGTTTATGAGAGGTTGGGGCTTATAACCAGCTAAAGTACAAAAATTTCATAAAAATATTTGCAGACGAAGAAGGGGGATGGGCCGTATTTGTGGACCCGGTTTGGGACGGATGGGATCAGCGGAAGCAAGGAGTCATAAGTATCCGGGGGGTGTGGGGGCCCTTCTCAAAGCATTTTGGGGGGCCCAAAATGGGACAAAGAGCCGGTCTGGGAAGTGGGAAGGCGCCTCCGGGACTGTTTGGGGACGGTCCCTGGCCCCATGACGTATATCATTGGGGAGGGGCCCAAATTTGGCGGCTTTATCCGGGGGCTCGGGGCAACAAGCAGAAGTTTTACATGATACTGAAAGTTAGTGATATGCACAAATTGCATTATCTCCTAAAAACAACCCGTTTTAGCTAAAAGTTCAGCAAAAAATATCAATATAAAACACTGTATTAACAGCTTAAAACCTTGTAACGACCTTTTAAATAGCTAAAGCCCCCTGAAACCCAACCCTCCCTCGCCCAAAAGTCGTATCCAAATCCACCATCCAGTGACCCCGTTATAACCCCTCCCTCCTCCTCCTCCTCCCCGATCCGAGACTGATTGCTATGAAACGCCCCTCCCAGACACAAAACATGGACCAATGCGATTTTTCTTGTGCCCCTTTGCCCCCGCCGTCACTTTCTCCCCCCCCCCACCAAACCCCTCAAAAGAAATGCAAAATTTACGGGTTTCGAGAAATTCCGGCGGCCACCACCGCCCTTCTGAAAGGCCATCTGGCCAAGTTTTTTGAACCCTGGAAAAATGGGCGCTCGAAAAAAATGGGACGCCTTGAAGCATGCGCAACATTGCAAAACATGCCCTACTACCTAGATGGGAGCGAAGCGAACGGTCTGGTCGTTCTAGTAATTGTAAAACGGGGGGCCAGACTGGCCGCGAAGATTTACAATCCGAGCCCGCCGGCTGGTTTTCGTATCTGTATTGGCGGGGGTAGATCTACAGATTACAGGGTGCAAAAGGCATGGCGAGGAATGGTCGGAGAATCTGCTGATGGGCTAGCTGATTGACGATAACGTTTGGCTAGATGATAAGTGGTTGATTAGATGGGTTGAAGTGAATTTAGGGGGGAGAAGACAATACATGGCTTGCGTTCAAAAATGATGAGAAAAGGGGGGAGGGGGTGGACAAAGTGCGCGGTGTGGTAAAAAGCAAGGAAATTAATGAATGACGGCTAGAGAAATAATATTTATCTTGGGAATCGTTGAATTAGTCACAGAAAGTAAAGGCAAATAGCTTACTAATAGGGTTAAAAATGATTCAGGGATAAGCTCGAGTTATTTCAGTTAGTTCTTTCCCTCTTAATTTTTAATCATCGTTAGCGCTACAAAACAGCTATTATGACCTAGCTTTACTGCTATAAATATTTAAATAGACATTTTTATACGGTTTTCTAAGGCTCTAATGTGCCTAATTATTATTAAAACGGCTTAACATTATTGAGATAGATAAATCCTAGAAATTTTTATTTTTTTAGCATTAATAACTTGAATTATAGCACCAGAAAATTATTCCGCATTAGTTTAAATATTTTGCAGTTTCGCGTTTTTTGTATACAAATAAAACCACGACCCGACCTCTGGAAGACAAAATCTCTCCGGAAATGGGTGCCGATGGGGGGCGAAAACTATCCCAATCTTTCAGCCTCCAAAAACGGATAAAGACAATCCGTGTGTTGGGGGCCTGCTGGCAGCCTGGTTGATCGTTTCCTTCATTTGATACCCACACCCCCCTGTTCCAAGCCATGTCCAGATGGTATTGGCCAGTTTTTGGGTCACCGACAAATATACTTCACCCCCTCCCCCAGCCGCATGTTTCTTGATGGTCAGTAAGGCAGGCCAGGGTGGGCTCGTAAATTTGCGGGGCCTCAGCATACAATGGGATGTGAGGATGGGGATTGATGTAAAGGTCGTCTTCCCGGGGAACATTGCCTTTAAACCACGGTGGTTGGGCCGGATACACACATGCCCTACTGACAGCCGGTAGCACCCTGGATAGGGGGGCTTCATTTGACGATATATGTGGGTTTGTGGTGGATGGGGGATGTGAGGGTGATGGACAGTGGTCAGCTGGGTAGTGGATAGATAGAGAGTGAGAGAAAGAGAGAGAGAGAGAGAGAGAGAGAGAGAGAGAGAGAGGGAGAGAGAAAATACGAGAAATTCCACGAAACGAAAAATAGCGAGAAATTCTGATACCAAATTAAATGTATAGCGCTGGTTCGGATTATTGTATCTAAAGTATGAAAATTTTTCACCTGTTCTAAACTAGAACTTACCTGTTTATTTTTTAGTAAATTTAATTACTTACTTCAAATTTCCAGCAAACAACAACTACACAGGTTAAGGATATTACGCATATAAATCCGATATCGGCAGAAAAACTAATTCTCTTGCGAAACGAAAAGATCAAAATTAGCTGTCGATAGTTTGCATCCTAATTGGCCTTAAATCCGCTTAACAAATTTAATCTTTTATGTAGTATTGAGTGCAACATCTGTAATCCAAATACCCCTTAAAAACTGCACCCCCTGGCCCCTGTGAAATCCTATCAAAACCCTACGAAAGTGCACCATGTCAAACGCCAACCACCGCCCTTTTACCAATCGCCTTTTTCGGAGGGCCCTCCCCCCTAAAAACACAGACAAAGCCCAATCTACAGCCCACCACCCCCCGTTCCTACCATGTGCCCACAAAAAACGGCGCCAGACATTCAAGCCACATGAAAAGAGACCCCTTTCCTCTACCCACCGACAAGGTCATCCTCGCAATCACCCCAGCTATACCGCAGTTGACGGCCGAAACCAACCGGAACTGACCTACCCAGCTTTAAAGGGGCTGGGACGTCAAAATCCCTAAGTTCGGGGTCGAATATACCGCTAGAGCGGATAAGGAATCTGTTTAAAAGCCGTAGAAGTGTATTGCATTGCAAAGAAAAGCTGAATATATAAGAAAAAAGTAGTTTGTCGGCAAAATCGGCTTTTTGCTCTAAATGGGCTTTAGGACACCAAATTCACCGATCTGGGCGATTCCTGGGTAGATTTAGATAATTTAAAAAGATAGAATCGTTAAAATGTTTTTAAGCATTTCAAAAATAACTTCATAATCTGAAAATTTGCACGTTTTCAAGTCCGAAAACTTCAAGAAAAGCGTCGGATGCGATCACATTATATCTGGTGATTTCCGACAAATCAACGCCGCGTGTCTTAGCTAGCTTTTTAACTAAGCAACTTCTTAGCTCCTTTAAACCGCATTGGTTCGGACCCTGGTACGTATACACCTAATAACCCAGAAAAACTGAGATAACGCTAGAGAAAAGCTCTTCATTAAGTGTATAAGTTCAAATCGATGAACATGTGATTTGACTAGACCCGATGAAATGTATATTTAGAAACTGGCCGTTCCCGTTAGGTCTCCCATACCGGGCGGCCGCCAAAACAACTCGCCCGCAGGCCTGGTGGCCTAACATGTGCAGTGACAGACACCACCCCGGGGAAAAGCAGTACTGAATCACGACAATCCTATGGTCCCCCTAGACCCCGCCTAGATTACATTTGGCTACGCCGTTTTGTATACAGTTAACAACGGCGTTTTCTGCAGGCTAGAGAAAACGAGAAGACCGGCCGTCGCGTTATTCCGACAAATTTGGTGGCTGTCATGAAAAATCGGCGGGGAGAGCTGAGAAATTTTGTGACGGCCATGTAATTCAACTGAAGATGGCTGAGTGGGGGTTATAAAAATATACAATCCGGTTTTTTATGCCGCTAAGACGGGTTGAGACGCGTTTCACCCATACGTTTATCTAAAGTACAACGGCGTCGTCAAGTGGGCCAGACGGAAGTGAAGAAAGGGTGAAGCTGGGATTAAATGTAATACCTTGGACTAGAAAAAAAAAATCAAAAAGTCAGAAATTTTTTGATCGTGCAAAGAATTTCTAGGCTATGTTTTAAAGAGACAGGCAAGGCATGCTTATGGATTTCGTCGATACTGGATTTCCTAAAAATTTTAGCGGGTTTTTCTTAGCGTAGTCAGTTACTCTCTAAGATTAAATTTTTCGCGAAAACGCGGACGCGGCAAAGACATAGGAAATCCAGTGCTAACTGGATCCAAACTTGAACGTTGCTTATACCTTTAATTCGGAATCAGAAAAAAACCAAAATTATCAGGAAAGAACTACAAGACATTCCAAGCTGCAGCCCAACAAAGACCCAAATGTACACAATTCTGCAGCTGTGCGAGGCGGAAAAGGACCCCCGGACCGAAAAGTGGGTCAAGAAATCAACTCCACTAGACCCCGAGGGGCCACTGCTCGACCGGGGCCCAAAATTTGGTTGCTGTTGTGTGGTCGCCCGGCCCGGATCCTTCCTACCACCAAAAAAGTAGACAAAGAGCGAAACGTGCAAATTTTGTAAGCAGAATTTGGTATAATTTTACATTTAGGCTTGTATAGAAATGTCCACCTGGATTTGAATAAGCGTTAAAAAAATCGAAAATTGCTAGCGACAGCCAAAATAGACGCGTACTTTCCACTAGTCTATCGCTTCTCTTTTTGCGCTTTTTTTTCTGCACGCCCTTCACGCCCAATCTGGGCGGTCAGCTTATCAGGCCATATTTTCGCGGTAGGATCTGCGAACCCAGGCAGGTTGT